GATGAAGGCCCTCTTCGGGTGCCAGAATGCTACGTTAACATGCCAGCTACCTGGGATGAACCCAGTAGCCAAGAGTTACAAACAACGACTCTGGATGCAAAAGCACTTCTAGCATTTGCTGATTTTTGACTGGCATTTGGTTGGCAGGAAAACATTTATTATATAACAGTAATCAAGTATAATCCCAAGCAACAGAATAAGACACAGCCTATTCTTTCTAAATGTTCCCTTGAAGTGTTCTCCCTTCTCCATTTCAATTTGAGATTGCTCTATTTTTGTAAAAAAAAAAAAAGGAAGAAAGTGTAAACTTGGTTTTTTCCATTATAAATAGCCCAGTCATCCCACCATAAATAGGATTCTAAAAAATGCAGATGCCAGATTTTTCAAGTTATTTTCTTGGTAATTTATTAGGAATCCAAATGATTAACTCCTGAGTTGTGTTTCCAAAAAATAACAAGGAGTGTGGCACACCAACACACTCTACACATTTCAGTTTTGTGTATTTTGCCTCGGGCAGCAGTGGCCCCCTCTTTGTTAAGGATTGTGTCTAACTTTTATTCCCTCATTCCAAAAAGATTGCATAATCCATACAAATACCCTTGGAGATAAGCTACTTTCCATTAACTCTTTATGAGGTCTCTTCAACATTAATTTCTAGGACAAGTCAATTAGAAAATACCACTTTGGTCTTTAAAATTAGGATAGCATCCTTTTCCAAAAATTCTGCTCTTTTTCCTGGTCCTGTCATCAGTGATTCCTCTACTGCTGCACGTGTGTCATTTTGATGGGCTTTTGGGGCTACCAGAGATCAGGAGGACATCCAGAATACCATTCTCAGCCCACGTCAGGAGCCAGCAGCCCTAAGCCAGTGCTCTGTTCCAGGCTGATAGCATCCAGGTGGAATTTAAAATAGAATAGATAGGAACCCAGTTATGTAAAAAGTCACCTCTGTTCTTCTATTCTATCATGGGAGTTAAGACCAGCTGGGGTGCTTCGGTATCAGTTTCCAGGACATAAGTCTCTGTGATCTGCAGCAGAAATTCTTACAACAGGGCCCTTAGAAGTCTTGTCCTCTGATGGATTGCCAGAGGCAGAGTCCAAAGCATATCTGCGCAGGCAGACTTTTTGCTGAGTTTCCCAGGGACTGAGAGAAAATTACCAGAAGCAACAAGCGCCCTTGGATTCTATGGTTAATAATCTACAATTATCCCAGGTGGGAGGTGTGATTTATTGCTGGCAGGCAATTTCTCTAGTTCTGTTGGCCTCGATGGTCCGAGATGACCACAGTCACAGATTTGGTCCCTCTGGAGAATTCTTTAGAGGGAAATGAATACACTTGAAATCTGGCTTCCCCCTCCTAAATCCTCTTTCCCAGAACATAGCTTAGAACACCTTCCCCCGGTTGGGAAAACAATACTGATTTTCTCTCCTGCGGGATCAAGAAGCTGCAGATGGTTCAATCACCTGCATGAACTTGAGGCCATGCAATGCTTTTCATAATAGCACTAGTCAAATTTTAGGTAGCTGGGCTTAGATCACAAGATGACGTAATACCAGCTTCTATTTTATGAACAAATAATTATATGGGCTTTGTAACATTTTATAGACTTGGGCACGTGAAGCTTAGAAAGCTTGCATAACACCGTAAGCAGCAGGTCATATTCTATGGCCAATTAATATTTTGTCCTCTCTCCAACTTACAATACCAAAAATAAATTGGAAATGAGACTCTTGTTCACTGCTGAAGAAATGGACAATTTGAAATGTGTTGTGGTGTTTGTGTTTGAAACTGACCCATTCTCCCCTTTATTCCTTACTATACAGAATGGACCATCCCTATTAATTATAGAGGAGGTGAGTGCTTCCTATTAAGTGACATAAAGTAGATGTAGAAAGAGTATCTCACTTTCATACCCAAGATAAATAAAATATCAATTACCTTATAGTTCTACAATTCAGCCAATTGAAAAGATTTCTGCCATTAATTCTCTTACATTGGAATCCAGAAGCAAAGTTAAACTGAAGAGAGAAGATAGGGTGAAAAAAATTAACTAGTGCCTTCTCTGGACCCCTCTCTAAGGTAGGCAAGACCTTACAACACCCAGGGTTCCCCCTTCTTGACTGCAATTCCATTAGCAAACACAGTCATCCAGTAACACACATGCTCACACTAACACAACCATGCCACAGCCCTCCCTTCAGCCCTATGACAACTCCACAGAGAGACTCAGGTCTGTAGTACAGATTTTGATAATTTTACAAATGAGGAACCTGAGGTTCAACATTGAAATGAATTAGCCTAGATTCCAAGCTGCTGTGAGGAGTTCCCATAGAGCTCCTTCGACAGCCCCTCCCAGTCCACAGAACCAGAAAGCAGAGTGGAGTGAAGAGCATCCACTCACACCACAACCTGCCTCCGAAAGACCCACTTCACGGAGCTCTCCCACTGGGACCTTGTGTATCTTCAGAAAACAGCTTTTTTTTTTTCTTTTTTTTTTGATGGAGACACTGAGAGGTAAAGAACAATGGGAAACAGAAGAGAAATTTAGACCCCGAGGTCCAGTGATCAGGATTTGGTCAGAGAAAAGAAAAAAAGAGGGGGGGGCAGCGGGAGATGTTTGAGCTAAGTTATGCAACCTTTGTTGGGGCTTTAAAATAGGCTTGGTTTTTGACATTAGCTAAGTGACCTTGAGCAATGTCTTAATCTCTTCAAACTCAGGTTCTCATCTATAAAATAATAATTTTGCAGCATTGGAAATTTGGTGTGGGGAAAGAAGAAAGTGATAGGCAGAAGTGGAGAGTAAATGGAAGAAGGTGGGCAGATAGGAAACCTGCCATGCAGAACGTACAACACCTGACACAAAACAAGCCCTCAAATAGCTGCCCTTTGAATGAAAAGCCTGTTTCCTCAGCAGGGTTGATCCCTGGCTGAAATCCCCTCATCTGGGCCCTCCCTGGTGGCGCAATAGGTTAAAGCACAGCACTTCGGGAAGCTAGCCTTGGCCGCGAGTTTGACACCACCACCACCACACCCCACACCCCCCAACCCCGCCCCACACAGGGGGCGGACATCATGGTGCAGTGGACCTCTCCTGTCTCGGGCTCTGCTCCCCTCAGCAGTGTACTTCATCCATCCGCCTGTTCTGCTCCCCATTCTGTCTCTGGTGAATCCTCTCACTGCCCCTGCACCTCTGGTCTGTACCTCAGTTCTGATGAAAAAATAAATAAAATCTAAAAAAATAATAAAAAAAATTAAGCCTCTTCTCTGGTTTCATCATTTAGTCCACTTAGGTATCTTCAAAGATGTTCTTCTTCACACTACCCCACTCCATGTATTGTGTTTAAAACCAGATTTCCTGACCTGGCCCAGAGTGGGAAGCGCAACAATAGAAACGCACCTGGACTCCTGCTGAAGAGGCTCACAGGACACAGTGAGTTCAGATGAAGGCTTTGATTTTCAGAAAGCTCACTAGCCATTAGCCTAAATAGTTCTGGATCTGTAACAAGACCCTCTCACCAACTTGACTTTGGTTTAAGACCTGGTACATACTGTCCACTCAGTAAATACTTGTTGGATAAAGGAATCATTGGAATTTGATGGGAATTTCCATGAACTTTTATTGCTCTGAACTATATAAGGAGATGGACCAAAAACATCCTTTCTTTGAGCATAAAGAAACAAAGCAAATCTTTTATTTGAGTAAGTCTGGACTTTGGCACCCACTAAACTGGGATGTCCACCCTGAGAATTCAGTAACATTCCAGAAGTCCTCTAAGAGTTGATGATGCCTCTGTAAACAATGCCTATCACCAACTCAACGAGACAGGGTTTTCTGATACCACAGCTAAACTTGTCCCATTTGTCATCTCCCTGAGAAATATCCTGGGAGGGAAAAAAAAAAAAGTTGATAACTAACTTCCCTAAGCTGCCAGCCACCACAATATCGTCCTGTTTCTCTCTTTGCTTTATACGTCTTTACTGAACTCGCCAATTAATTCATTTCACGCTTCTTCCCACGGCTGGTTTGTGCACTCGAGGGAAGGAAAGGGCACACAATAGGTGTTTAATAAATATAATTACATTTGTTTTTAAGATGACCCCGTCAGCCGTATCCATTAAAGCCATGAAGTGGACTGGATGGGAGAATAAGGTTACAGATTTCTCTGTTCTGGAACTCCCCAGAGGGTTCTCTCACGACCAGGAGCAACGCCTCACCTCAACTACACTCTGAAGTCTCCTGAGGTGTGGATGGAGACAGCAAGCAGGGTGCTAAAATGTCAACTTGTTTGGTACCAGTTCCGACTCACAAAGATTGTTCCCCTGTGAGGGAACGAAAGTGAAGAAACCCCGGCAGTGCTTTTCCAGTCACTCCACCCAGAAAGTAATTCATCCAAATGTGACCCGGGTGAACGAAACTCAAACATTTCCCAAGCAGCCCTCGCCTCCACCCTGGGTTGCTAAAACCGAGCGCCCCTATCAGACTTCAGGTGGAAGGGGCACTTCTGCAAAGACCGGTTCTCGGGACACTGGGACCGGAGGAAAGATCACCAACACAGCAGTCTGGTCCCGCGGTCGCGGAGCTGCGGCCGGGAGCGCCCAGGGAGCCCCTCTCAGCCAATAGGAGCCCGAGATCCCTGGATGATGCGATGCGGGGCTGGGGCTGGGCCAATCAGATTCCAGGCGCGGCCAGAGGGGCGGAGACACGAGGAGAGACCCGGGGCGATGGAGACCCAGCGACATCAACAGAAGTTTCCCACCTTGGAATGCGGGGGACGCTCGCGCATCAACTGTGCATCTCCGACTGCAGGCGTCCCCGCGGCCCCGAGCTGCGTTCTCCATCTCTTCACGCTGCCTGCAAGCCAAGGGGAGGCTGCTGAGAGCCCCTGTCGCAGCGGGCCTTCTTTTTATGCTGTCCGCAGGGAGAAAGAGGGCGAGGGATACTGTGGTGCTGGAGAACTGACCTCTGGCCTGGCGGGGCCCTGGGCGAGGAGGACAGAAGAGGAGTGGCTGGGGCTGGGGGACTCCATGCGGGGGCCATGGACAGAGCGGCTCTCCTGGGACTGTCCCGCCTGTGCGCTCTGTGGGCAGCCCTGCTCGCGCTGCTCCCTTGTGGAACCCAAGGAAACTGGATGTGAGTATGACCCGCAAGGGTGCCCTGGGATGGGGCGATAGGTGTGCCCAGCACCAGGGATCTTTCAGGTGAGGCGGGAGAGAAGGAGCCGGGACCCTAGGGCGGGGGAGCCAAATTTGGGGAAAACGGCTGGGATTGGGGGAGAGAGCCGGGGAGCGGTTTACTCTAGGGGCAGCGGTATCTTACAGGTGGTTGGGCATCGCCTCCTTTGGGGTTCCGGAGAAGCTAGGCTGCGCCAACTTGCCGCTGAACAGCCGCCAGAAGGAGCTGTGCAAGAGGAAACCCTACCTGCTGCCGAGCATCCGAGAGGGCGCCCGGCTGGGCATTCACGAGTGCAGGAGCCAGTTCCGGCACGAGCGATGGAACTGTGCGGTGGCGGCCGCCGCCCCGCCGGGCACCAGCCCCCTCTTTGGTCACGAGCTGAGCAGCGGTGAGTCCCGGGACGCTCGGGTGCTGGCGCTGGACGGAGGGCGACTCAAACCCACGCTCTCTAAACCTATGAAAGGCCCTTCACAGGAAGGGCTTGGGGAGAGAAGCCCTGGGGTGCAGGTGCGGCCCCGGAGGGGGGTGACTCCCCAAGTCCAGAGCAGGGCTCTTGTGGCTGTAGCTCTTCCTCCGTCACGCAGCGCCGGGTTGGAGTTGGAAGAAAAACTCTGACACTCTTCCCTGCCGACCCCGGGATCCCGTAACGCCCCCCTACGTGGGTGACCAGCTGGAGAAACATGATGTCGGCGGCAGGGAATGCTGCTGCCTCAACTGCTTTGATTTCCGCGGCTCCGCTGCGCACGAGCCCTGGTCTCACTGCAAGGAAGCCCCGCGTCCGTGGGACCCACGGGGCAGCGGGTGGACAGAAAAATGACTTTCGAGGGTGGTGCTAGACAACCCAAGTGCGACAAGCCCGAGCGCCCCGTAATCTGTCTCTCCCCTCTGCTCACTCGTCTTTCCACCTCTTCGCTCCGTGCTCGCTCGCGGCGCGGGAAACGGCCGTGAAGCAAAGCCCCACTGTCTCTTCGCTTGGGAGAGATAACGTGGCAGGGAATCAGAACTGTTGCAAGCTTAGGAGCAGAGTCAAAGAATTTCTGGATTTGGGCACTGAAAGATTCGTTGTTTTCCAAGTTCAAAGCCATTCTCCCTCCACCTTTGACCTCTACCCTCCGGGGGTAAAGGCCCGAGTAAACCCTGCCACCAAAGCAGTGCGTTCGCCCCGCTGCGCTTTGGCCGGTCCGGCGCGCCCGGGAGCCCTGACCTGCTCCAGGGCGGGAAAGGGCTCTTCACAGTTGCTGAAGTGCAGAGGCATCAGCTGTTGAAAAGGTTTATTGGACAACGGGTGTGAAACGGTTTCTATTCCAATCTAAACATCTCGAGGGTGGGGTGGGAGGAAGCTGCCTTGCTGAGTCCCTACTGCTTTCTTTTTTTATTAATGTTTTAATGGATCTTTAATTTTTTAAAGGTTTTAGCTTGAACTCTTCTGTAAGTGTGTAAATACACATTCAATAGCATTTTTTTGTCGCTAGACGTTTTAGTTATCTTTCATTGCCTTTAAGACTATAAGAGGATTAACTTGTACTATATAAAATATTTAACTGTTTCATAGTCAAATAGCAAGGTTGGTATTCACGGTATGGTTTAAAAAAAAGTCTGAGGGGAAAGTGAACTAAACAAAGATCTATTAATTGTTCTGGTCATTGCTTAATTTAAGTTTGCATTCTGATGAGTACTATTTAACACATTTTCAGCATGTGTTATCTGAGAACACATTTTAAACTCAAAAAGAAAAGTAATCTGAATTCCCTTGGGCATTATGTTACCATTTACAGTCTCCATGCAAAGGATTTTAAATTGACCTTAAATTTATTGAGCTTTTCATATTTATTAAGAAGTTATACTGAGTTAGTTGCTGACATACATTTCAGATTAAAAATACATTATTTTAACTTAGTGGACAATTTGTGGCATACAATATATGAAAATCTCAAGTGGAGTGGGATAGTGACGATGTTGCTTCTTTAAAATATTTTTTTAACTTGGTGATGCTTACAGGAACTAGGGTTTAGGCAAGGGGGCTGGGGTGGGTGGGGTAGATCTGCTGTAGCATGTGAATTTGCTCCCTGGCCACAGTAGCTGCAGCTTGACAGTGTTCCGACTTAACCCTTTGCACCACTAGGGAGGCCCTTCTTTAAAATATTTAAATGAGAATTTTTGCTTTCTAAATATGTGCTCATTAAGGTATTAATAGTAAGAAACTAGAAACTGGCTCCACTCATTAGAGGGTAAGTAAGAGGCTTTGTTGTGAACATAAACAGATAAGTGTGATTCTTTCACTTAGCAATTTGTGTTTATTCTAGGTACCAAGGAAACAGCATTTATTTATGCAGTCATGGCCGCAAGCCTGGTGCACTCTGTGACCAGGTCCTGCAGCGCAGGTAACATGACAGAATGCTCCTGCGACACCACTTTGCAGAACGGCGGCTCAGCGAGTGAAGGCTGGCACTGGGGGGGCTGTTCTGATGATGTCCAGTACGGTATGTGGTTCAGCAGGAAGTTCCTGGACTTCCCTGTCAGAAACACCACGGAGAAAGAAAGCAAAGTACTGTCAGCAGTGAACCTACATAACAATGAAGCTGGAAGGCAGGTATGTATGAGAACATGGAATAAAAATCCTGTGTCTTAAACTGAGATTATGTTTCTGGATGAACCTAAATGGGTTTAAAAAAACACTTGCAGTGTGGAAGTTTAATATCTAGACATAAGTCTTTATATGTGGGTTTTGTTAGTATGTTAGTTTCATCTGTATACCCACATGAGTTTAGTTTGAATTCTTCATCTGACTGTGAATTGGACCTTGGTCTAGAATATGTTTGTGATTGTGATGGAATAGTTGGTAATTCTGAAACACTAGTTATAACCGTCGGACAAGTACCTGTTGTTTGGTTCTACCCCTGAGCAGGTTAGTTGACAACACCAGAAAAGAGCCATAGTATCTGCCTTTCCAATGGTACTGACTCATAGTCCAGCTCCTCAAATCTGAATTTTGATAATTTTTAAAAAATCCGTATTTTAGTAATTAATGGATCCTAATATGTTTTCAGTTTTAGCTTTACTTTTTCTAGCAAACATTCTTGACATTTACATTAGGGAATATGCAAATTAATAAGCACAGAGAAATGAAGCTATAGCTTTAGCAAATATACAGATGTTTTAAAATGTTGAAGACTGAGGGGGAAGCATATTTGAAGAACCGTCATCTAATTAACCTCTCACTTGAGTTCCGTTATATTAAATTCACTTAGAATGGAGTGGACTTTTAGCTTGATTTAATGTTTATATATTTGCTTTAATGAATATTGACTCAATAGAATTTGGATGCTATAATATAGTGAAATTATTTGGCAATGTATAATGACATTCCTAAGAAACCAACCCCCTTTTAACGAATATATGTTTCAATAATCTTTTCATATCAGGAATATCAGCAGTGAGTACCAATTACTATAATTATAAATATCCTATAATTTGGTAGGTTCCCAAAGTAGTCACTGCAACTGCTGCATTCTCCTAAAATAAATAAAAACAAACTGCAGCATACCTCAGGAATATTTAAAGTATATGTTGTATTTGTATTACATTTTGAATAGTTAATAAACGGAATCTACCTAGAATTATTGCGAGATTCAATCAGTTTTCTTTACTTAACCATTTAAAATACAAACAGAACACTGCATGTATATATCCATAATCTTAAAATTTAAAATTTCTGTTAAATTTGAATATTCAATTCAAAATAGAAAATTGAAAAGGCAGTAAAAAGCTATGTGATCTTTTATGTTCTTATTTAGAAATTTCAGTTACTTTATCTCATCAAAATAACTTTTCTAAACCATAGTTATGCATATATCTTCTCCCTAAAGTTTTGTTTTAAAAAGGTAAATGAATGAGTTTTTACTTCAAATTAAATAATATCCAATAAATGAGTTTTCTTATTTCTAACATTAATATGAAAGAGGGTAAATTTAATTAATATCTATTTTTCAAATCTCTATAGAGAAAAACATCAAGCTAAATTAAATCAATATATTTAAAAGACAAGAAAACACTTAAATAAGCATTTACTGTCAATTTAGACCTTAAATAGTCTCTAGTCACTTAAAAATTAATTTGGTAGAGATTTTAAAAACATTTAACCATAAAACAAAATTTAGAAACTTAATTCTCTTGATAAAGTAACCTCTGAATCGATGAAAAACCCTGAATTTATTCTAAAATGTATTTTTACTTTTAATATTAGTTACCATTTAGTTTTATCGCATTTTTGCATTTTTTTCAAATTACATAGCAATTTTGGCCTCTGTGATGTTAACTTTAACTTAAACTATTACTTATTTTCTGATTTTATTGGAAACATGCAACTTTTCAACACTGTGCTATCTTTTGTTGGCAAAAACAATCTCCTCGTATTACCTAGATTTTGCTATTATTTTAATTATGCAGAAAACAATTTAGCTGATTAATACACACACACACAACATATTGTGTAAATATCAGAGTTTCTCTGCTGAATCTTTTTTTTTTTTTCCTGCAGTGGTCTAGATAGAATCTTAAAATACTACCTGACCGATTAGAGGATACTACACTGATGTTTTTGTTGGTTTTTTTTCATGAAGTATTAAAATTCAAAGCATTTTTGTATTTTTTTTTTTTCCTGCTGGTGCCCCAAACCAACAGCAACAAACCACCCACCACCACGACAAAAACAAGCCAACAAGCCAGTTTCCAGGTTGTTATCTAACCTGGAAGAACAGTCCAGTCCATTTGCAGTATTGCTAATTAGGATTTTAACCTAACAGACTTTTTTTTTTTTTTTTATTTTGCATAAAGCACAAGGTCTGCATTCAATTGAGTTGATTTTCCAAGTCTCAAAATCCCAAACTCAAAATGTAGGAAAGCGTTCAGAAAAATGTGGGTACTGGCGCTAAGTCGTGCTCTGAGCAGAATAGATGATTTTCTAACCGCTAACCTTAAATACTCTGATTCCCACTTGGTTTCTGACACCATTCCTAAAGTTATGACTCCAAGAATAATGTTGCCGAATGGTGATTGGCTGACAGAATGATGTGATGTCTTCCAGGGGCAGAACTTCTGGGAATAATGTGACTTGGAATATTTATGGGTATTTCTTTTGGTGTGCTTAAAATATTTCCATTCTTCCCCTGTCCACCTCATAAACTTTTAAGTTTCTCTACCCCATAATTTGTTTTATGATGAGTAACTCAAAAAAGTGGGAAGGGCCAACCCAAATTTTCATTGACCTGTTTCAAGAATATTTATAAGTACTTGAACAACACATAAATGTTTTGCTTTTCAGCAGGTTCAAATATGTTCTGGAACTTAAAAAATGTACTGGAGAATAGAAATTCTGTGTCTATCCATCCAACCTTGCATAGCAGTTTTCATTAAAACGTACGCAGGTCATCTGATGGATGACAAAATGAAATGCTTGTCATAAAATGTTCCACAACAGTTTCCGGTCATTTCTGCAAAGTTTGGATAAAAACTGTATTGCATATCCCTTTCAATCAAAATTTGTGAGGTCAGTTATTCCTTAGTCCTTTCAGGCAGACTCTATTTTTACCTTAGTGATTAATGATACAGATTTCCTATATTACATCATTAGAAATTTATCAAACCAACCCCTAACACAAGGGCTCCTGTAGATTAAATGTTATCCCTTTAATTGCTCTCCCATAGTTTAAAATATTCCACCCAAATGTGCACATCTGTTTGCAATAGTTAACAAAACATTCCTCTGTTAATATCGTTATAAACCTTAACAACTCAACTAGAGTAGAAAAAGGAATTTTCTCATAACCACACACAAATCATTTGGTTGCTGTTCCCTTACCCTTCCTGTTTCCAGAAAATAACTGTGCTATCGCTGCAGCTCAGAATGACTATTTAATATTAATTAAGACTCTTTGCCGGAAAGCTCCAGAATACACTTTTTGGAGGATTCATGCAATTTTTAAAAATGTATTGGCATTTTCCACTTTTCATTTTTCTCTGTTCTGCTGGAATTATCCTGCTGTTTAGAAAGACCTCATATTGTATATCACCAACATTCCTTATATAAGACGATTGTCTGAAACAGTTTGATTTTAACAGTTTCTGTTAAAACTAAATTAAGTGAAATAATTTATGAAAATATACTCTGAGAAGCACTAAGCTCAGTTATGTGTGTGTTGATTAAACACCTTTATTTTAACCCTTATTTGCCCAGGTTTCTTCCTGGGAATATAATGGAATTGTGTTTATTTAAATTGTATGCCAAGCCATTAGGGTTCTTCTTGACGTTTGTCTATTTTAGAATATCTGCATATAAAATAAAAGCACTGTTTCTTTTCATGTGCTTACTGTTAAAGACAAAAAAAGAAAGTTCAAAGGTACCAGAATAAAACTTAAATATTTCATCCCCCAAATTATAGTTAATTCCAAGTATTTAAAAGGACTATTTTTCTAGTGAGAAATCTCCCTAAAATTCTTAAACAAATTAGCAGGTGGTATAATTGATTTAAAAACTGGTCTCATTTTATTCTTCAAGCTTGTGAACAGTGCATCGGCCTTGTGGACTACCACTGTTGGGGGAAAGCCCAAGTCATCATGGTCTTTCAATATCACTGACCTCCTGGCAGGGAGGGCAGTTGTTTAAGAGGGCAGTTTTTACCACTTCCTCCAGATCCTGACTTCCAATAGAGGCTGAGTGAAAACGGTTCGGGTGATAGGGGCCTCCCTGGCGGCGCAGGGGCTAGTCTCAGTGTTATCAAGCTATCGCCAGTCACTGCAGCACGAGTTCAATCCCCCGCCAGGGAGCTGACCCACATGGCACAACAGACCTCTCCTGTCTCCCTGCTGCTTCCCTCAGCAGTGTGTTTCAGTAGAATAAATAAAAATAATAATAATAATAAACACAGTAACTGTGTAATATGTGCTAGATGAGCACATAGTTCATCCTCCTGCTTTGCAAATTGGCAGTGCATGAAGTCTGAAATGGTTAATAAAAGTCGCTCCAACATCGTTCCAAGAAGAGGGCAGCTTTAAGTCACTAAGTGATGACTGTAAGGAATGTTGTTCAGCTTTAAACACATAAACATACATGTGTAGATTTTTGGCTTTGGGGGAATAATTTGTTTTGTCACTGATTGAGCTCTCTTTTTCTCATATCCTGCAAGCACTTAACATCTGAACAAAAATAGGCAGATTGTGTTAATTTGAAGATTTATTTGCCTGGAGACGTTTTAAGGAGTTAATGACTTTTTTTTTATCATAATCATAAATTTAACCAAGTAAGCTTGTATGCCCAACTTTAGAGTTTTTATATCATCAAAAGTCACCTTTTGCCTGAGTTAATAAGAAATAGACATCCTTCCTTGCTTTTTAAATTCATGAATTAAGAGGGCATATATATTGTTTTTTATAAGATGTTTATTATTTTAAACACCTAAGAGGTGTTGAATCTTGCACACATCAGTGCCACATTGCTCTCACTTAAGGTTGCAATTGTTTGAAATAGTCTGTCTCATTAGTTCAGAAACCGGTTGTGGAAGTATGACTTTCCACAAACTTTTCAATGTCAGGTTTGGTAAAAAAAAAATAACAAAGTGTAGCCTCTGTCATTTTATAGCTTTGATAAAAACTGTAGGAGGTATTTAAACTGAGGGTTTCCCTTTGGTCAAATTACACACATAATTTCTAAGTTATTGAATGGATGGATCAATTTTTCATTTTATTCAGCATGTTGATGGAATGTTAACTCACAGCTCCTGATGACTTACTCATCTGCTCAGCTGTCCCCTGGGAGCTGAAGACAGCTGCACTGTCTAGTTTGGCATATAAAGATGAGAGCCCCCCAATCCTTTGAAATCTCAAGGTCGTTTTAACACCGTTGTCGCATATGAAATTTTATCCCAATTCTTACTGTACTTCTTCAGGGGGAGGGACCATTCATTTAGACCTTAATGTGTATCAGGCAGTGTAAGCTCACTTAATTCCTCAGTCTGTATAAACTAAACTCAGCACTTAGAATTGAAAAATTATATAAATGATTTTCTTTCTATGTTAGGATGGTGCTACTGATTCATTGAGAATGGGACACATGTTTTGAATTAATTTTCAAGGCAGGGGAAGAATTTGCTGGGAGCAACCACACTCTCCAGCCTCTTCTCCGTTTGCCCAACTTAAGTTGATTAGTCAGGGTTTCTCATGTGGTCTGTAACCAGGGAATAGCATGTCCCCCCGAAACCCCAGTGAGTGTAACTTGCTTTTACAGTCACAGAAGGCAAGGACATTCCATTCAGTTTGGTAGCTCTCACCCCTCGCACCCATTAGAATCCTCTGAGCAGTTCTTTGGAAATATCATTACCTGGGTCCCTCCAAATTCAACCACAATGTCAGACGCTAGAGCTTTGGTTCTCTGTAGGATTTCCCAGATGTTTGCACACACCAAGTGAGTGGAAGACTGCTCTATCAGTGCTCCAATTTTAAAGTGTATAGGATTCACCTGAGGCGCTCATTAATTATTAATGTTCAATAACATATTATCAGTGAAATAGGAGTTGTGGAGCAAGTTGTGCATTGCAGGATGTTGCAGAGAGAGCAAAATCCTGGCCTTTTTATTGCTAGAATAATCATATAGCATCATTTACACCCGGAAGGAGAACAAAGTAAAACGGGTGGGTGAAACTGAAAATGTGTTTATGTCATCAAGGGCTTCTGTAGGGAAGTGAGTCTGCTGACCAGGTGTTTTTTATCTGCTTGATGACCTGGTATTGTAATGGAAACTCTTCTGCCAGCTCCCACCCATGGTCCTAAAGGTCACTTCCCACTGATCAGTCTCTGGGACTAGTAATCACACAATGGCCAGGCCACGGTGTCCCCCCAGGCATTGCCAGTCACACTTCCTGATACCCACTGTCTCAAGGCCCTAGGGGCCAGCTCTTGTTTTAACTCAAAATGGGCCTTATAGAGTCTGGTATGTCACATTTTTTTAGGTCTGAGAACTGATTGGCCCTGTTGTTCTGACCTTATACTGGAAGGCAGAACTGCTTGTAACCAACCTAGTCGCTGAGCAGGCTGTTTTAAGTCTAGCCCACCCCACAGTTAAAATGCAGGTTCTAAGCCTGAGAGCTGCTGATACTGCTGGTCCTGAACCACACTGAACAAGGTGTTTCGTGGCCTCAGGAACCCCGAGGCATGCATGAACATCCTCCTAGGCCTCAAATGAAACAGGAGATTCTAAACAATAGTGACCTTCGTTACCCCAGATTATCTCCAATGACAATATTAACCCGGCCCACTACTTGAAAGTGACTTGGAAAATTTTGCTTTGCAGAATCTATAGCAGGATAAACAAAAATTCAGGATGTTTAAAGATCCTTTATATTCAAGGCCATCGATTTTATTAACAGGCCCAGAAAGGTAAGTGCTGTGTTTCTGCTGAATGACGACGTGTCACACAATGACTGTTGGTTTCAGGCTGTGGCCAAGCTGATGTCAGTGGACTGCCGCTGTCATGGAGTTTCCGGTTCCTGTGCCGTGAAAACCTGCTGGAAAACCATGTCTTCTTTTGAAAAGATTGGCCATTTGTTGAAGGATAAATATGAAAACAGTGTCCAAATCTCAGAGAAAATAAAAAGGAAAATACGCAGGAGAGAAAAAGATCAGCGCAAAATACCCATTCGCAAGGATGACTTGCTCTACATTAACAAGTCCCCCAATTACTGTGTAGAGGATAAGAAACTCGGGATCCCAGGGACACAGGGCCGAGAATGCAATCGAACATCAGAGGGTGCGGATGGCTGCAACCTGCTCTGCTGTGGCCGAGGCTACAACACACACGTGGTGCGGCACGTGGAGAGATGCGAGTGCAAGTTTATCTGGTGCTGCTATGTCCGCTGCAGGCGTTGCGAGAGCATGACGGATGTGCACACCTGCAAGTAATCACCTGTCCAGCCTTGACGCAGCGACACACAGCGGGGCGTCCCCCCAGGCTGCCTCTCCCCAGCAGGCCTGGGAATTTGACTCCCACCTTGGAGCCCCCAATTCCCTAATCTTCTTTCAGAGATTCCTGTGCCTGAGCAATGTCCATCACACACTGCGCATGTGAGTTTCTTGGGGTTTTGAAGTTGAAAAGGTTTGTGCTGGTCCTTGGTTGATTTGGGGAACATATGTTGACAGAGAAGGAAGATAATCTGTCTCCTAAGCAAGAAAGAACAGGAAAGAACCTTCATGCCAGCAGACGTGTCTTATCAGGATAAGATCTTGACTAGAGAACTCAGTTATAGATTCCCTAGTGCTGAGTGAATATTGGCCATTTTTAAAGACACCTCTTAGAGAAGCTAGGCGCAGTCAACACGGATTTCCTTTATTCTCAATATTTTAGATGAAGAAATCATATTAAGTATGCATAGATTCAGGAGAGGAGATGTTGAAAAGTGAACAGATTGGGTGCTTATTTACCCTTGCATGCATTTCAAAAGAAAGGCAACTTAGAAAGAGTATCTGCATATGTGATACAATTATTTTCTAAAAAGTATTTATTAGAGATCTTCAGTGACAAAGGAAAGAATCAAAATGTAAAAAGTAGAAAGTGTGATTTGGACTTTAAGTGCCTTTTAACCAGGAAAATCTACCTAGAAAATTATCAGAAATGTATATGGCAATCTTTGATTTTGAACTCCATACTTTCATTTGTAGGCCGGTGTCTGCTATCAGAAACCCAGCTCTGGGGGCCCTCCATGGCAGCATGGAGCTTAAGCCTCAGCACTACCACTATTACAGCCTGAGTTCAATCCCCAGCTAGGGAGATACCCCACATGGCTCAGCAGACATCCCTTCTCACCCGCTGCTCCCCTCAGCAGTGTATTTCAATAAAATCCACCTGTTTTACTTCCCTTTCTGTCTGGTGAATCCTCTCACCCCCTGCATCTCTGGCCTATACAGTCATTCTAATAAACAAACAAACAAATAAGTACATGAAATCCAGTTCTGAATACTAGGGGAGGAAGGGAGCCTGAAAGAATGTGGGGAAATTAAAGATAAAAAGGTAAGGGGCTCTAATACTTTGTTAGGAAAAGCACCATTAAATGTATAAAGACAGTATTTTGTATGGTATTTTGCTTTAAAAGGTTTTATATTTTGTAAATACAGTATTTAAGTTATGTGATATGTATTAAAACTTCAGACTTTTATTGCCAAAGTTCCAGAGCTGAAGCAATATTATCTTAGAAATCAGATTAGCTTCTGTTTCTTTTCATACGCTGACTTGTTGTGTACTTTGAGGAGATTAGTAAAGCAGTATGTTATATGGATGTGTATTTCTCGCCCAAGTGGCAGTTTTATATGTTCTAGATTAAAGTATGTTGTAAAATATTGAGAGTTGCGTTAAATCAGCAGCCAGATTAGTTGAATTGTTTTTAATTAGTTATGTTTCACTTGTAAATTTATTGTAGTAAATTATACAGTGAAAGTATAACCGGAAGAAAGGAATCTAAATTAGAATAATGATTTGTGGATTTGATATCCCAGATATTTATTTTATTGCACTTAATGCTGCATTTCCGTGTGAATGTGGAATGGTCTCTCCTAGTGTTCACGCATGGATACGCATCCTATTTTATAAGGTTCTCATGGAAACTATAGTGCTGTATTTAAGTTGTATTTTAAAATGTAAATGCTTATGTTTTTTTTATTAATTGTTAATTATTTCAGTATTATGTAGAAAAAAAATTTCTACAGGACAAAGAAAGAGTATTTTTGTCCTTAATATGCTAAAGAACTGTTTCTCTGCCCCCAGGTCTCAGTGTATTTCCTTTAAAATTTAATTACCAAAACAGACCAGTAAGTTGTGAAAAAGAACAAACCCATAGGAAATGTCTCAGGTCTGATATTAAAATTGAGGCTAAACATTGAACTGTGGCCCTTCAAGTTTAACATAATTATTACTTATAATGAGAAAATAAAGAAATGACAAATGAACAGAGTTCTTATATAAACATGGTTTACCATTCATTCTAAGGTGTTCCACTGATCAGCTTCTGGGGACCTTCATTATACATCAGTCAAGTCCTCCCACCCTCCCACCCCCTCGGCATTCCTGGTCATACCTCGTGATGTGTAAGTCAGGAGTAAGCTCATGCACCAGTCCGGCCTCAGGCCCCCAGGTGGGCGTTCCCGGTTATACCTCGTGCGTGACGCAGACCCTTTCCCGGGTGATCCAGCTTTATGCTCTTAATTGATGTGAAAGGTACCTCTTAGGGTTGGGTTCCTATGTCCAGGTAGTTCTGATCTTGCTTTAGGAATACATAACTGTAGGTTAACAACATGGGGCTGGATAAGCCACCTAAGTTTAGCAGACCCACAAGCAAGTAACTGAAAACCCAACAGATTAGGAACTGAACTGGCTCGGAACTGGAAAGGCCATCGCTGTGACTGGCTCAGGCTTGATCCATAGCTCGCACTATGTCCCGACTCCTATTTCTCCATCTCCACCTAAAAACGCTGGCTTCTGTGGTGCTGTCTTCTGCTCAGCCTCCACACACCACTGCCCCCACCCCCACCCCAGCCCTGCTCGGCTCCCCCAGCTCCTCCAGGTTCTTGGCGGCCGCCACACTTCCTTCCACATTTCAGTCTCCTCCGCTCACTCCAAGGAATGAGGGTGGTTCTTTTTTCCTGGTTGCTCACGCAGGACAGAAGGGAAGCTTTCATTTTTCAGAAAGCCCAGCAACAGTCCTAAGTCTCGTGACTCAGCTGTTAAAAGTGCTCTGCCCTGAACCAACCTTTGTGGATTAGGATTTGGGGTAAATGCCCGGACCACCCGGGCACTCGAGACCCACTCTTGCTGGCAACTGGCAACTAGGGTTTATCCTAACCACCACCTAGCTTGAGAATAGGAAAAGGGTACACACAGAGGAAAACCAGGGCGTCCTGTCACCATGAAATGGTGTCTGGACGCTGGGCAGCGCGCAGACAGGCCAGTTAGAAACCCCAGCCCCACTGATGCATTTAGAACACAGCCTTCTGGCTTCACATGGGTCAGGCTCACAGCCAGCCAAAGCCCTGTGGCTTACATATGCCGGCTTGAAGAGCTTTGATAGGTTTCAATGTCCTTTATATTAAAAGTGGAAGGGAGGTGCTCTGGTGTATTAAATTTTAATTTAGGAGTTCAGTGTTTTTTGAAAATTTGGAACTGCCTATTAGAGGCAATAGTTAAAGGCAATGATGGTTGTGTTGAAATCAAGAAAAATATATGGCATTATCTAACTGGCTAATTAAAGCATTTCCCCGATATCAGTTCATTACCCACCAGGAAAGTGTTTTCTGAAGTACTGTCAGTACTGATGTTTGGTTTTACTTAGTTGAAAATGTGGAACCAGAACAGCTTTCCATCCAAATGCTTATTTATAGGCAGTTTGGTGAGCTGCTGGCACAGCTGGCATCACCTCCCAAAGGCCTCAAAGACTGAGCAACTAACCCAATGTTTGGAGTCAATTATCTACAGCCCTATAATCCACTTAGCCTATTGAGGGAAGAAAAGTTCCAGCCCCATTCCCAGGGGCCATGCATACTCAAGACAAACCCTTAAGGAAGATGGCTAACAATTCTCAGTGTGTGCATTTTAATTTCATTTTCACTCATACCAGTTGTGCTTCAGGACACCTCCTGGAATGGGAACAAGAGGAAGGCGAAGGAAAAAAGCACTGAGGAGGCAGAGGCACAGCTGGAGGGCAATGCCTTCGACAGTGTGAACAGCACTGACAGACAGTGTGTCCGTTGTTCTGTCAGATATATACACGAACACACTTAATCCTCCCAGCAGCTTCTAAGTCAGCACGGTGATCCATAGTCCAGATGAGCCAACAGACTCAACAGCAGCCCAAAGCCATCAACCTGAGCATGGGTGTCCCCTAACCATCATCTCAGTGCTTCCCCATAGCATCAAAGTTGTCAGTACACTGAGTTTACAGGATGCCACTTCAAAAGTCCGGGGGATTTGTAAATGGAATGAAAGTTACAGGATGTTCCTTCACCCTTTGGTTATGTAAACTTGGTTGAGTGGTGAGGGGAGAACTGCGACCTTAACATTCACTGTGAAACAGAATTAAACTATACCTCCTCTTGATTTCTAAGCTCCCATTGATTTAAACTACTTTAGATCTCAATGTGACTAACAGTTGGATTATGCAAAGTCTAGCCATCTCTCAAAAAGGACTGGAAGTGAAGATCACACTAATTTCAGAGTGACATGAAACGCTCACATCTTTTTACTGTTGTGGTTTAGCCAATGGTTACATGAGGTGCTATTTTTTTTTTTAAAGATTTATTTATTTGTGCATACAGAACTGGGGTACAGGCCAGAGGCTCAGGGCGGCGAGAGGCTTCACCAGAGACATTGGGGAGCAGAACAGACAGATCGACAAAGTACACTGCTGAGGGGAGCAGCGGGCGGGTCAGGAGAGGTCTGCCATGCCATGTGGTCACCTCCTGGGCAGGCGGGGATCGAACTCATGCGGAAGCGGCTTTAGATTCTCAGTGCTGTGCTTTAACCCGCTGCACCACCAGAGAGGGCCAAGGTGCTATTTTTAATGGACCATTGGTAATGGTTTGTATTCACATCCATAGAAAAACCACTAGAGGTTGTTTGCACTAAGGTAATGCTAGCAAAGCAACTTCTCCAACAGGTGGTAAAAGAAATAATAAATATGAACCAAGTCAACACAAACTAAAGTTTCATTTGACTTTTTAATTTGCATGAGTGAGGGCATCTGGTTCCTGTGTGAAAATGTGAAAGCTGAAAGAATGAAAGAATGGTGGACACAGAACTGTTCCCCCTTACCCCCAGTCACTGCTGTTCTTAACCCCTGGGGGTGACTCACCCACACAGAGGCTGTTTCTGATTTTCTGCCCCCCTCACTGAACTGGAGGAAGGGTCTAATGGACAAAGGTTTCCTGGATTCCCACACAGACTTTCACCAAGCTGCCTGCACCAATCTTTGCCATTTGCTGCCTGCTGCCTAACAGGGACTGACAGTCCTCATCAAGCCTGCCTGCATGTTTCTTAGGCTGGACTTGATTTGACCAGAACCTCAAGAAAAGAGACAGGGAATGGGGAAAACAAGCAATAGGAAAGAGCCCTAGCTAGTTAACTTGAGGGAGCTTTAAGGAGAATGAATTAGAGGCTCTAGTTTAAATCAAGTTTATGATTTAAATCACCCTGGAAAGAAACATCAAAAGAATTCTGAGGAGTGTTTTACAAAAGGTGAGAAGCTGGTAGTTTATCCTACAACACGGAATTTGCATATACTTACCTGTGATCAAGGCCTAACTGAAGAAGTGGCAAACTGTCCCGCCAGTTAAAGTGAGTAATGTTTCTCTTTCATATTTATTTCAAAAGGTATTCTAAACACATTTCCAGTTTTAACCGGTCTACAGCTGAACACAACACAATTTTCATTCTTTCCTTTTAAAATGGGGATTATCAACCAAACTGAATTGAAACTACCACCTTTTTGGAGAGTCAAATTTTAATTTCTATAAACTTTGAAGTATAAAGTGAAATAAGCTTTTATATGAATTGAACTTCATTTGGTATAAAATTATAAAATAGTAGTTGATTCATTTCCAAACAAATACAGCAAAATACAGAAATGATAAATTTTAATCAAATTAAAGTCAGGAATATAAAGACTCTAGCCCACATTTTCTTTAATTGCCCAAACTGCACATGTTTTCCTGGCTTCGCTTACTTTGACAGGCATATCACAGTACACTTGCTCTGGGAAGCACTGTGTCTACAAACTCAAAATACTTATTCGTATGGCCCTAACCATCAATTAAATGCCCAAGTTTTTTATTTTAATAAAGAAAATTCTTAATATTAAAGGAGCTTTGTTTCCTTGACAATGCTGATTTTTAAGATATGTGAAAATGAAATATAGTAAAATTATTGCTTCCAAAGTTAGCACAATCTATATAGAACAGAACTGAAACAAAAGCGAAATGTACCAAAGCAGTTACATAACAACTTTTATCTCTCCTTTTGACATACAAAGCTATCATTTCACAGCCTTTATCTTGACAAAGGGAGGTGCTGCTGTCTTGATACTTAAATTCTACACACTACACTTTCAGACATATCCTAAAGAAGTTACCACAAAAATGACTTAAATTTTACATGGTAAGCAGCGCAACAAATGCTTGACAAATCTCAAACTGAAACTCTCGTACTTTTCCGTCATACAATACACAAAAAAATTCCCAAAGCAAAACTGAGAATATTTATTGTCATTATTATTTGCAAATGCAACATTTCACAATCCCTGGTATTGTAAAAGTTATTTTTTTAATTTACATAATTGAGGGGAGTATTTTAAATGCCAAAATACATATGCTGAATGTGATTTAGTTCATAAGCACCAAATCTGAAGTTTACAAAAATGGTTGAAGTGTATAAGGTGCATTATCCATGAATTACAATCAGTTTGACAGAAGAAATAGTACCCAAAGTTCATTAATATTTAAGTAACAGTTGAATAGCTTCCAACTTGGTTTACCACAAATTAAAAATACTGCTTTAAGATTCTTTATACAAGTCATCTAAAATTGAGATTCAAAACTGAAGTGCCACCTTTTATTGTGAATGGCAAGTCATTGAATGTACTTATGTTTAAGAAAATAGGTAATTTAATGCCCTGAAAAAAATTAAGTCATTTAGTACATATCTGAAGTTAACAAGACTGTTAAATCTTGTTTTATGTAGAATTGTGTTTAAAGTCACTTGAGTGAATTAAACTTATTTTTGAATACCTTAAGTCCACCCAATAACTAAATAACATTTAGTTTTTCTAAATGTCATGATTATCTTCAGGCAAAAGTTGATTGTATGAAATTAAATGAAACATACAGAATTTCTCGATTTACAAATCAAATTTATTGTGGTGCTAAAGCATGCCTCCTTCCAAACTCACTGGTCATTGCTGACAACATTTAAGGAAGGAAAGTATGTCAGCACTGCTCTGCAGTCTCCGACAGGCTTCCTGGATGGCCGATACAGAAGAGCTCAGCCTAGCTCCCCAGTTCTGTGGAGTCTCTAGCCTCACTCTAAATAGCTTCTACAAAATCAAGTGATTCACACTAATGCAAACCCGGCAAGCTGTCATCCTGAAAGACACTGATGTTACATATTAACTTGTAATAGGTACTTACATATTTAATTTTTCCTGTGTACATTAAAAAAAGAATTTTGTTGTGCTTTTGCATATCTGATACATGTTTTCCTATCATTTTATTTCTAGGTTTCCTGGGCAAAGAAAAGAAAGACTAAGAAAGGAGGTGCAGGGGAGACTAAGACAGTGAAGTCACATTACACACACAACTAGCCCAGTATCTTTTTAATTTAAAAGACACTATCATCAAAAGGCCAGAACAGTCTCCCCCTAAAACCCTTATTAGTTCATGACAGATTCTCACAGCAATCAGTAAATGTGTGTGTGTGTGTATATATGTATGTGTGTGTATATATATATGTGTATATATATGTTGTATGTGTGTATATGTATGTGTATATATGTGTATATATATATATGTATATATATATATATACACCTCAATACATTTTCACAATCTTTTCCGTCATTTACTGAGTATACTTTTAGAATCTTACAAGACAACATTACCAGAGCAGTCTAAACTTTGTACTGTTAAGGGAAATGTGCTTAGAAATGGTCCAGCGATTTGCTCATTGTAATTATTTACAAAGATAACTATTTACGTTAGCAATAAATAATCCTGATACCAAGAGATAACATGCATGCACACACTGAGATGGCTGCATGCTCTTAAAATATTTACACCCCACTTCTCTGTGATAGTTCTCCCACCGATAGTGAAAGTGCGCTTTCTTCAATTTTCTCCACATTAGTCTTGCTTCTGGGGGATACATCCTTCCATTTCTACCACCTCAGGCCATCCTTCATATTTGTTTGTGTCCTTATTGTTTTTTATATACTGGTAAAACAACAACAGTATACAGTTATAACAACTCTGGTGAACGACATACTTCATACACACTTCAGTAACATTCATGTTAACCACAAAGTCACATCAATTACTGCTCAAGTTACTGAGTAACTCTTGGGGCCTGGCATGTAGTGGCAGATCTTAAATAACAACTGAAAGAATAAATATCACAGTTTTTTCTTTAAAGAATCATCTGTTAACCGAAAAGTAAAGCTTACATTCTACTCAGTTCTCAAGTATTTCCAAACCTAATTGATCATAACATTGAGTTGAGCTCAACTTTATCTTACTAATCTTTAACAAACATTATTTTTTTAAGACTTGAGATAAAAATAATCACATGCTAATGCACTGTCATTTCGGGAAAAGAAATTCCCAAGAAAAATTGACCATTTTGAAGTTTCACAATTAAAACAGCGTCATGGTTATTTCTAAGTATTGACAAACACAAACTTGTGGAAAATATAAGAAAATACTCACTGTCTGCTTTACTTAGGCTTCAAATAGTCGCAATAAGTAAATGTACAGATTTATACAATTTGCTCTTGTCCACTAACTGAAAGTCTTTGACACTAACCTGTTCAAAAGGGCTTTTTGTCTTAATGCCTTTCCCACCACAGAAGACCCAGTTGTCTCTAAAACCAAGACTAGTTATAGACGTGCTCCCCAACTCAGCAATGAGTCGTCGTGCTTCATCATTGAGCCTTCAAGAGAGAAAAAAATACAATAAATACAGTGCACTGTATGTCAGCTAACTAATACTGGTTGACACGGGATATTTAACATGTAATACAAAGATAAAAAGAGAACATAACAAGAAAAAGCATTTTTTAATGTAACATTCCTACCACTTTAATTCTTTAGTAACAAAAAAACATGAACTCTAGCAATTACTTTTAAGTTCATTCGATTATGGAGTACCTTTTTGATGTTTTGTTTATAATAACTCATTCTCACCCACAACTGTTAAATAATTATGACAATTACTGAATGTCTAGTCAGGCAAATCTCAGACCTTCAAGCCTGTATCTTTGTAAAATTAAAAATCACTTTGAATCTTCACTAAAAGCTGTTGTAAATGATATCGGAGGACAGTAAAGATAAATGCTGTCAGGAATCTTGATGTTTCTAGTATTGTGTTTTATTTAAAAGAAAACAAATTTAAAAGTAGACCATGATTTGTATTTCAGTGACAATTGCTGAGTGGTTATTTGGTAAAAGTGAAAGCATTAACCATAGCACATCTGCAGGAAGAACAGCGAAAGCCAACTGCTAGGGAACTACCTGAAAGATGTCCTCAAGGAATTTGCTGTAGGGTGGCAACCTAATGTGTGGTACTCTGTCTCCACTATGTCTCAAAAGGGGACGAAACTCAGTAGATACACCCTATTGTAGAGTTGGGGGGGGGTGGAAAGGAGAGAGAAAGAAGGTTGACTTGTACATGTCATTTGTAGTAAGTCCTACACAGCCCCCAAGAGATGGAACTTAAATGTCAATTTGAATGGTTTGTTCTGCCAAAATTGGATGCAGGACAAGCAAGTCTCATATTTGCAAATAGTTGGAGGATGACTAGCTGCAGGGCCATGAGGAAGATCCTTCATATCGCAGTGTTCTTTTAAACACTTCATGCTGCTCTCAGCTCCTTTAATGAACTGAAGAATGAAACAATAGGAAGAGCAGTTCTCATTAAACTAACCTGAAGATAAATGGGACAATTTGTGATACTGTGAAGAATAAGAAATACTAGGCATAAGAAACCATGTTATAAGAAGTTGAGATTAGAAACTCTCGTGAGGGAATGAGGTTGTAAAAACAAATAATCCTGCAACGTTTCATTAAATAGTTGCTAACAATCCCTTTTAAAAAATGAAGAAAAGTTTCTGAAGTAATGCTACCACAGGAGCATCCTGCAATTAAAAAAGTGTGCAAAAGTCACAGGCAAATCATACTGCTCATTACAAAACTTGATACTGTGACCAGAAGACCTGCAGTGCTCTGAAAGATCACAGGAAGAACTTACACATCTGAATAACAAAGGAACCCACAGTCTCACAAGAACCACCCAGTATCTAAGTTCAAGTACAATGGACATTTCCAGGGAGGCAAACTCTGATCAACATGAACAGGAACAGTAGATCAAGAACACAAATGCTGTAAAATCAATTTAAGCCTCCAGACCCTGTCACACACTTCAATTCTAAAGGAACTTGTTAATATCTTCAAGTAGTGTCAGTTATATTAGAATCAGCATAGAAAACAGATGCTGGTGACATGAAAATTTAGTTAAATATTCCAGATTTCAAAAAAGGCAAGCAAAATTTTAAGAACCAATGATTCAATAAAGTATAGTCCAACTCCTAACAAATTTCTATAATAAATTATCATACCTATGAACATTAAAAAAATAACAATAGTACCCTCCCTGATGGTGCAAAGGGATGAGTGGTCACCGCTGCTTCAGTGCAAATTCGATCCCCAGCCCGAGATGACTCACATGGCAGGGCAGACCTTTCCTGACCCACCCACTGCTCCCCTCAGCAGTGTACTTCATGCATCTTGCCTGTTCTGCTCCCCACTCTGTCTCTGGTGAATCCTCTCACTGCCCCTGCACCTCTCACCTGCACCCCACTTCTGTATGCATAAATAAAAATAATCTTTTTAAAATAATAATAGTAAAGGGAAGGGGTGGCAGAAAGAAGGAAGGAATAAATAAAGCCAAGTTAATGCCATCTCAACGATTTTAGCTTTTGAGGGGGTTTTGGGCAGCCAATCAGGAAACTGTAATTAGCACAGTTCATGAATATGAAACAAGCATACGAATAGTCTCAGAAAATAAACCCTATGAATAAAATAATGAAACAGCAGTCAGATGGCAGCATGCTTATAAGGTACACTGGCAGCTGTTGGAAAAGTAATTCCTGCAGTAGATTTATATGAAACCCCTGGAGGAGGCCCTTAACAGGGTGGCACGCTGCCCTTGGTAAACATTTTTATCAATGACTTAGATTTAGAGAATGACTTTGGAGTGAGTACAAAGCCTGGATCATGAAAACCTCAGGACAAATGTCAGCATCAAGACCAAGAAGGCCAAAATCAGCAAAATTAAACTTAACAAGGATAAACAAATATGGAATCCTTCACACAGATGATATGAAATCAAGCTCTGAATTGGGAGAAAGACCTGACTTGGCAGCAGTTAAAAAGAGAAAAAGAAGTTAGATCAAATTAAAAGGTCTGAGAAATTAACTTGACCATGATTTCTCAAGCCAAAAATGTGATATGACTGTTTAAATAAAATGAATACAATACTAGTCTGCATGAATATTCAAGGAAACTGGTCTGTAAAACACGGAGCGCGAGCTCCACGCACCCTGGGCCGGCAGACCGCGTGCGGAAAACTGTGTTAGCCTGGGGTGTTCTCGTTTTAAGACAGACAATTACCAACCAGGAGGGCAAGCATCCAGGCGAGTAAAATGGCCCAGAAACTGTTCAGCACTGAGGCTGGAGGAGAGAAGGGAGGGAGATGCAATTAGCTTCAAGTACAAGTGATCAGAAGGTGAGCAATATGGAGGAGGAATTCACCCGGAAGCTCCACGGGAATCTTGCCCTGGCTGGGAGGCCGTTCAGGAGGCCTTGACAACTCCTTATTTCAAGACATTCACATCAAAATCTTTTATTTGGGCATAAAGTTAACATGTCATGGAGTGTTTGCTCCAAAAAGAGGTATGCAAAATTTTAGTTTGCTCATTCAAACGATCTTATTCTTTACTAACCAGAACCCAACCTATGGTAGTGGTTAGGATGAAAAATAAGGACTCATTAGAGATGTGCATGGCCCAAGGTTAGGTTTTCTTACACAGAAGTGCTCTTCTCCTTTATAATGGGTTCCAGTAAAATCATTACAGGGATAAACAGGTAAAGAGGTTGTTTAGGGCAGACATTCAGGGCCTTCTACTGTTTTGTTCCTTCGAAAGGAACAAAAATGTGGTGCCTTCCGCAAACTCAACTATTATGTAGGTTAGAAAGAACTAAGGTTCTACCAGCACACACTTTGAGAAATGCTGTGATGGAAACCAGACCCAGTCATTCTGCTGACGTTCGCCGAGGAGCGGAGGGCTCGTCAGGTTTGGTAGTGACAGGATGCTTCAGAGCGAGGAACTGTGCAGACAGACACACTCTCCTTTGTACTCCGAGTCCTGCCTTCCCCAGTCCATATGCTGCCAGTTCCCTACCTTTGTGCTTTCATGTATTTTCCAAATTTTACCACAGATACAAGAAAAAATTACAAACTACCACCTATTATACTTTACACACACACACACATCAATCACACTCTTTCACAATTGATTTCACTTCTAGGAATTTACCATAAGCACATAATCACAGTGTGCAAAAACTTCTGTTTAGAAGGATGTTTATCAAATTATCTATAATATGAAAAATTTGGCAATAAAAGGACACTGCTGAATAATGGTGGGGCCTTGATGATCAGGCAGCCATGAAAACTGCTGATGAAGGATTTTAAGGACAGAGAAAACAATTTAAGGTTATTAAAAGACAATATAAAAAAGTCTAAAAAACTTTATGTACAATGTGATTCTGACTTTAGTCGTGTGTGTGTGTAGTTGTGTGTACACACAACTACACACACACACATACATAAATACAAAAAAAAATGACAGGAAGGAAAAAACTGAAAAAAAAAAAATGTTAATAGTGCTTTATCTGGAAAGTGGATTCCTTTACTCTATTTTGTAATTTTTCTTTGACGAAGATGTACTGCCTTTTCAAATATAAACTGTAGCTCCAAAAGGTGTATGCATTTTTAGTATACATACTTGGTCGCTCCATCATCGTATGTCCCCATTAGGACGATTGTTCCATCTTGTATGGACTTCAGAAACTCAATAAAAGGGGCCACATCTGAAGGGAAAGGAAAAGTTAAGGGTTTTTTTGTTTGTTTGTTTGTTTTTAAATGAGTGACCTCCAAGACTTTTAAAGTTAAAATATATCAAATGTTTGTCAGTAAGTTACTCAAAACACAGAGTAACCAAAAGGCAGACAAGTCTTGCAGCCAGCCTGATGAGACTGTCCCTTCATATGATCCCACTATCAACTTAAAATTTCCCAATGCTGATTCATCCTATTTACCTTCTGAATTAACATCCTAGGAACAAAATGAAAAAAATCACTGCAAAATCAGACTAAAGCATGACTTATGATTAAGATAAAGTCAGGAGAGTAAGGTAGGAGAAAGGCTCCCATAATCCGAGTGGACGTGAACCTGTTTGGATGGGTTAAAAGAGGATACACAGCTTTAATCTAATACACAAGTCTGAAATTTTACATACATGTGGATACACACACACATACATAACAACAGACTCTGACTGAGGGGTCATGTGTACATAACTATTTACTGTGACCTTGGGAAATAAGCAGGTTACCACTAGAATCTAAACTGCTGAAGCAATTCATAGTCATTAATGGTTTCATCTAACAAAAAGGTTTACTGACTTCAAAATAAACCAGTCAGTGATTACATATTAGTGATACCAAAGAGATAAACCAAGTACTACAAATTCTTTTATATCTTCAGTAATTTATGATGGTAGTTTTTCATCTAGAGCTCCATTAGAGTTTTCCATTTAGAGTTCTCAACTCTAAACTAGAAAGAAGATTCTATTTCTTTTCTTCTCTCAAATATTCACCCATTTTCATAATAGTCCTAGTTACGATTTTGAGACTGTAAAATCAGATGTAAAAAATTCAGTTAAAAATACTTGAAATTGCTATGCCCACCTGTAAATCACTTATCTCTTAATATTTCAGAGAGAAGTCTACAGGAGACCAAAGCTTTAGTTGTCCTGCAGAAAACAGAGCTCAATTTTTTTAAAAAAATCAATTTTTATATTGCTATTTTTATTATACACCATGATCTAAAAAAAAAAACAAAAAAACTACATACAAAATGACAGATCTTATGAAGTGAATTGGACAGAAAAGTAAAAGAAGATAAACACAAAAATAGTTCCATTATTTTTCCATTAGTGGCTACATATACTAAGATGATTAAGTCAGTGGTAGTGATAGTTATTTAACTTACCTCCTCCCCACATGTCAAAATATTTAGTGTCTAATACTTCTCCTGTTTTTCCTGAAAGAAAATGAATCCTTATCATATTATGCACTGGAAATGTATTCTATATTCTATAACAGATCTTATTTGATGATGAATATGAATTTGCAAGCAGAGAAAAGTTATCATGCCAAAGAACTGAATTTGAACTATACACATCTAAAAAAATACTTCTAAAGGGTCATTTTAGGATTTCTAAAGGGTCTCACTAAACTCCAGTAAACAAAAGTCTACCACTGGGGCCTCCCTAGTGGTGCAGGGATTAAGTCTCAGCACTAGGAAGCTCTCCACTGCAGCACTAGGAAGCCACTGCAGCACAAGCTTGACCCCCAGCAAGGGAGGTGACCCAAAGGGTACAGCCTGTCTCACCCTCAGTAGTATATTTCAGTCAATCTGTCTGTTTTGCCCCCCAATCTGTCTATGGTAAATCCTCTCACCCCTCCCCCCTTGGACCTCTAGCCTATACCCCAGTTCTTCTACACATTGGGGAAAAAAAAAAAAGCCATTACAGGCCACTTCGATTCAAAGTCAGTCAAGTTTTCACCTCTGCTACATTTTCCCTTATTTAAGAATTATCCCAAATACCTGTAGCTCTTATAAAAAGGTATATTTGATGCTATTTTCTAGCATTAAAGCCATCTTTTCAATATTATTTTCCTCTTCAGGTTGTTTTAGTAACAAGATAAAAAAAGTAGAAACACAAAAATGTATCTCTTGTTGTGAAAGATGTTCCCACCCCATGAACGAGGTGAAGTGGCTGTGGTTTCTAACCACCCCACCCAGCTTTACAGGGTTATATGCCAGGAAGAGAACACCACATGCTGGGAGGTCTCACTCTGTGGGTTTGTGTCTTCAGGTCTGACTTTACAAGGTGATCTTTCAAGACAGTTAGGAGTTAATGGGCTTTACAACATAAATGAGCTTACCGGAAGATTGTACACAGTACTGAAAAATTAAAATAAATTATTTTCCATTCTCCCCTCCGTCCTACCCAATCATTCATCACCCTTGTCATTCTAGATATACTCATCTGTATCAATCTGTCTTCATATTAATGTGAGGATCCCAAACTTTTGAGTAAAATTTGTCATGTAATGTTAGATTGCCGTTCCCTGGCAGTCTGGCAGGAATCTCTCTGAACATTGCACATCAAGTTCGAGGCCTCCAAGTCAGTGCGCTGGAGCGACACGGAAGTCAGGTGTCCATCCCGGCCCTTGGGGAGGGGAGGGGGCGCGCAGGGCAGCCTTGGTGTAGAGAGCCGCCCTTTGCACCCGCCCAGTAACTGAGCGTGTCCCGCCTCATCAGGCACACTTACCATTCACCAAGGCCACATTGATCCCTCTTCCAACGTTATTCTTAACACCACTCATTAAACTGAAGGGAAGAAGTTAAGACAAATTTAGAATTACATGAGCATGACGTACATCGAAAAAATCAAGTCAGGCAAAAGAGAAAGTCGGGGTATTTTATATACAGGTACAGTTGCTAGTACTGCAGGAGCAACTAAAAGGAGATCACTCAGAGACGACGGCCTAATATTGAAGAATTTTAAAGCCACATCTTTAGCAAGCTCTCACAAACAAAAATGGACTTTAAAAGTATTAAGACTGAGATGGAAAAAGGGAAAAAATTATATAAAAATAAACTATTACTTAAAAAATATATTAAGACTGAAATACTAGATTTGCTGTCTTGCATCAGATTATGAAATATTATTTTAGAAAATCCTTAGGACATGCAGACAGTATACATACGTGCCACACCAGTCTCTATTCTGAGTGATTATCAATGTAAAATTCCTCCACACCAGAAGAAAATTATATTTGCACAATTATTCTATCTAGTTACACACAGTTACAGCATCTTTTCAAGGTAATCAACATGCTCTGGTAGTTCACAGGCTGTTACTTAACAATGCTATAGAAGGCACAGCGCAAGTGAAACATCATTCTAATTTGTTGAAGTAAAATTATCGATAATGTGCATTTAAAAAAATCAAGGAAATAGCTGTACTCCCCAAATGCACTGCTCTACCACTGACAACTACTCTGAGGTTAGCAGAAGGGGAAATGCATGGTCCCCACACACATCCGCCTATCAATACAGATGTTCTCATCCCTGCATACATACAATAGCCACATACATTTATTACAAATTCTACCAACCTACATGATGTGTAGCATACAATTTCACAAGCACACAACCTATAATACTTCACTATAATTCTATATAGCCAACTGCTTTTCACATGTCATGTTCATTGATTTTCACAGAATTCCTATCTGTAGCAAACCTCCTGTTACAAGTGATGAATGATTATAGATAGAACACACATGTTGGAAGATATTGCACTTAAAGAGTAAACAAAAGTAAAGAAAAACTGAAATAGTGAAAATCTATGCTGTTAAGGATGTGACATTTTTGTTAAATTATTTAATCCAAGTAATGGAATTTCTTTAATTTTTGTGCTATTCACAATAAATAAATACAGACATGCCATAATTTTAAATTTAATCTGAATAATTAACATTTCGCCCTCACTTTCTCAAGTCTAGACTTTGAGTTGGCAAACTTTTTCTATCTGGAAACAAACAGTAAATATCAAGAACCACCATCATAGGAAGCAGTAAAAGAAAATAGAGAAACAAAAAAAAAAATCAGAAAGAACAAAAGGAATGGCAGTCACTAAAGTCTTAACATATTAAGACTTATTAACATATTAACACAATAGTTTAAACTGAGTAAGCAGAGAGATTGGTATAATGGATTAAAATAAAGCAATCAGGGCTCTCCCTGGTGACACAACAGGTTAAAGCACATTATGAAGCGCTCCAAAGCCACTGCAGCACGAGTTCGATCCCTGACCAGGGAGCTGACCCACATGGCGCAGGAGACCTCTCCTGACCCACCCACTGCTCCCCTCAGCAGTGTACTTTGTCAATCTGCCTGTTTTGCCCCACTCTGTCTCTGGTGAATCCTCACAGCCACCACATCTCTGGCCTGTACCCCAATTCTGTAAGTATCAATAAATAAATCTTCTTTAAAAAATTTTTAAAAAGTTAAACAGGAGTAGATATTTCACACACTATATATAAATCAAAAAATGCTCAACATCACTAACCATACAGGAAAGAAAATTCACTAAGATGTCACTATAAATTTAATAGAACAGCTTAAAAAATGAGCATGCTGGCAAGTATACAGAGAAACTAGGTCTCTTATGCACTGCTTGTTGCGAATGTAAAATGGCACTCTGGAAAATGTTTGGCAATTTCCTATAACGTTAAATATACCTTTGCCACACAACTCAAAACTCCTAGGCATTTCATTAAATAAAGAAATGTGTCCCTGTAAATATGTGCATGTGATTTTTTTGGTGACTTTATTTGTAATACCCAAAAATTACAAACAACTAAAATTGTCTGGGTCAGGACAACAGGTCATGATAAACTGTGGTATATCCATACTATAGAATATTACTCAGCGTTATGAAAAAAGGAAACGAATATGCACCAGTATTTCAAAAACATGACGTTGAGTGAACAAAACCAACCTCAAAAGGTCACGTGCTATATGTTCCCATACACAACATCCTCAAAACACCAAAATGATGGATGTGACTACCTGGATGGTGGTAGGAAAGAGTTACTTGTAATGACGGAACAGTTCTATACCTTAATTGCCATGCTGGATACATGGATCCACACATGATCAAATGGTATGGAATCATTACATGAGACAGAACTCCAATCTGCAAAGTATACAACGTTGATTTTTTAAAAGCTTAGTAGCATTAAACTATTTATATATAGTTAATATAAATATGTAGAACTGGTCACACATCTACTTTCAAAATTTCACTTGTTAGGCTCTAAATTTTTTTTTTTTTAAGATTTATTTATTGATGCTTACAAAATTGGGTACAGGCCTGAAGTGCAGAAGGTGAGAGGATTCACCAGAGACAGATTGGGGAGCAGAACAGGTAGATGTACTGAAATACACTGCTGAGAGGAGCAGCGGGCGGGTCAGGAGAGGTCTGCCACACCGTGTGGGTCAGCTCCCCGGCCAGGGATCAAATTCATGCTGCAGTGGCTTAGGAGAACTTCATAGTATGCTGCTTTAACCCCTTGCACCCATCAGGGAGAGTCCTGTTAGGCTCTAAAATTTACAAGTGATTAAGCTCAGAACTTTCTCATATACGACTTGTTCTGAGAGGTGGGCAATCAGAGAACCAAACAATATTCACCAAGGAGAAGGTATATTCTCCTCATAAACCCATGAACTCCACCAATGACACTGAGGAGCAATCACAATATTCGATAAAGGTCTTGTCACAGAGCTAAACTTGTCACAGATACTACATTCAAGTCCATCACAGAACAGAACAACGAAGGCAGTAAAGCGCTATGACACAGGCTTCCCACAAGGGGGCAGCAGCTTATCAATCTTAAAAAGAAACTAAATCAGGGGAAACCTGTAACTAGCAAATGACAAACCATTTTAAGTGTAAGGAAAAATGATATTTTCTCTTATTTTTTTGTGTAGCTGACAGCTCCCCCCACTCCCACCTCCACACAAAAATCTAAAAAAAGACTGTAATTGATAGATACATTCTACGTCTTCAGTTTGGTTTCAAATCCTCTATCTACATAAAGTCTAGCTACTGCTTCTCAAGGTGATTAAAAGAGTTCAACAACTGTAACTCACTGTCCCAATTTAGCTAGCTGGTTATTTTTGTGTTTTATTTTGTTGCTTTACCACTACTATTCAGCTTAGGATGGCTTTTCCATTTGTAAGTGATCACACAGTATTGCAAACAGGTTATCCAGCCTTGGCTTTAACCTTGTGGCCCTTACAGACAGGAAGTACTATTTAGATCCTCAATGTTAAAACAAAAATCCCTCAAAATAGTCCTCCATCTACTCCTACCCCAGACATTAAGGTGAAACACTATTCTTACTATCAGCTCCATGTGAAGGGAAATCAAATGAATACATGCCTAGAATAAAGGCGGCATCTGACATAATATAAGTTCCATGGGATCTCCATACAAAAGAAAAAGCTACAGTTCCTATTGTATGTGACTCCAGATGCTTAAACCCAGGATTTCCTTCTTTTAACTACTTAGTATGAAATCCATCTGAACCATAATGTAATCTGACTGCCTCTACTTGTCCTTAAAAATCAAGACTACAGCATTAATCTTACTGTCATTCGTTATCTGTATTAGGCTTTCAGTTTATAATGATACTGTGGGCCTGATAATTACTGTGCAAGGATTAAAACCAATTCCTCTGCTCTAGTGACCTCAAAGTGAGTTGTACATACTAGACCACATGTTAAAAAAACTAAACTTTTGGCCCTCCCTGGTGGCGCAGCGGGTTAAAGCACTGCACTAAGAATCTTAAGCCAATTCCGCATGAGTTCAATCCCCGCCTGTCCCGGAGGTGACCACATGGCGTGGCAGACCTCTCCTGGCCCGCCCGCTGCTCCCCTCAGCAGTGTACTTCATCGATCTGCCTGTTCTGCTCCCCACTCTGTCTCTGGTGAATCTTTTCACCCTCCGCATCTCTGGCCTGTACCCCAGTTCTGTATGAATAAATCAATAAATCTTTAAAAAAAAAAACTAAACTTTTGTGTAGTTTATATATTTATGCATGTGTTTTAGTGAACACGCACTCAAAAGCATTGCCAAAAAGGACGCCGTGCCACAGAGCCGAGGCAGGAACTGCAATGACTTTCCAACTCTCTCTTCTACTTCCCCAATCATTTCAAACAGCAGATAATTTTTTTTCAGCAAGTGAAATCATGACATAGCAGAGCTTGAAAAGCTTCAGCCACTTCTCAATACACTAAAAAAATCTCAAGCCGGCCCTCCCTGGTGGTGCAGCGGGTTAAAGCACAGAACTGAGAATCTAAAGCCACTTCCACATGAATTCGATTCCCACCTGCCCCGGAGGTGACCACATGGCGCGGCAGACCTCTCCTGACCCGCCCGCTGCTCCCCTCAGCAGTGTACTTCTATAGTGTAGATCTGCCTGTTCTGCTCCCCACTCTGTCTCTGGTAAAGCCTCTCACCGCCCCTGAGCCTCTGGCCTGTACCCCAGTTCTGTTATGTACAAATAAATAAATCTTAAAAAAAAAAAAAATCTCAAACCTTTACTTAAATGACCTACACACCCCTACCTGGCGTGTCCCTTGCTCCTGTCTCATCTTGGCCCCACGCATACTCTGCTTTCTACCAAGAGATGTTCTTTGCCTGCTCCTTTCTCCCCTCTTATCCTTAGTTCTTGGGCCAAACAAACACCCCTGGCTCTACCTACCATGAGGCACTTCAACCACACCTCATTTCCCTCACCAGTATCCACCACACCTTGCTGTTCCACACGGCATACGGCACAAGTAGTGATCACTTACTTCCACCTACTAGACTCCGCTTCACAAGCGCAAGGGCTGTGACCAACAAATACTAGTTGAATAGGTGAACAAGAAAATCATACTTTAAGACTTATTTATTTATGCATATAAGAACTAGGGTACAAGCCAGAGGTGTTGGGGTGAGAGGATTCACCAAAGAGTGGAGAGCAGAACAGGCAGAAATACACTGTTGAGGGGAGCAGCAGGCAAGGCAGGAGAGGTCTGCCGTGCCATGTGGGTCACCCCACGGTCAGGCGTGGAACTTGTGCTGCAGTGGCTGTGGACAGTCAGCAGGTAGGCCCCGAGATAAAACATACGCTTAAAAATTTTGTTGGAAAAACTTTCCATATAGAGACAAAATGCACTGGAAAAAAAACCCCTTAACTATGAATTGGTCCCAGCAGTTTTTCCACTGGTGATCCTAAGCCTAATTATTCGGTCAGTATTTGGGGACTAGGTTTCATAACCTGAGACCTCGCTATAAAATCCCATCAATTATTTAATCTCTCAAGGGAACAGCAGAAATGATTACTGAAATGAGAATGGATATGTGACCTGCCTCAATTTTACAGTTAAAGAAACTGAAATACAAATTCTAAATTCTACATGGCACACATACCTTCAAGCAAAAACCAAATTCTCTGGCTCTGAGCCCAGCATTGACTTTACCAGACCCCACTGCCTACACACGCTCTTTACTTCTGCTTGACCTACATAATCTGTAAAGGGGAGAAACTGCTAACAGAGTCTGAGCTTTTCTTTATATTAAAAACTAGCATACGAGCCCTCCCTTGTGGCGCAATGGGTTAAAGTGCAGCACTATGAAGCTATTATAGCCACTGCAGCAGGAGTTTGATCCCAGCCCAGGAGCTGACCCACATGGTGCAGACCTCTTTTGACCCACCCGCTCGCTGCTCCCCTCAGCAGTGCACTTCATCAGTTGGCTTGTTCTACTCCCTACTCTGTCTCTGGTGAATCCTCTCACACACACCCCTCCCCCACACCTATGGCCTGTAACCCCTGTTCTGTGTGCATAAGCAAATCTTAAAAAAAAAAAAAAAAACTAGCATGCCTCAAGGAAACAGAAGACAACCAAGGACAACCTACTATGGACTATGGACTAGTCATTCTAAGAGCTTCTTTGCCATAGCTTAGACTCAAATGTGGAGCCAAAAAAGATGTAAAAGGGGAAAGGGAAGGCTTTAAGTCAACAAGAAAGGTACTATTAATGTGAAATCTGCTATAACAAGAAATCAGAAGACACTGGATCAACAATGGATTATCATTAGTGAAAGGCAAAAGAAAGGTAATGCAAAAGACCTTCAGGAAAACGGCACACAAGCCTTTGATTTTACAAGAAAGGGCTCTTTCTCAGAGACGTCCCAACATACCCAGAGCTCACGGACAAATGGGCTGGAAGGGTAATGTAAGAGCTTCCACAGTAAAAAGACACAAACTTTGGGAGACAGGACCTAGTCCACTCCTTTCTGTAAAACTTCCTTGGTCTATTTCTCATAAATTTTAAATAAGCTCATACACTGTAATTTTCTAGTAAAGAGAAAAATTAAAAACAACCAACACAGGTTAATAAGTGGATATATACAGCAACTGTGAGTGCCACACACAAATCTCCTCCCAAGTTAGAAGAGCAGGATGCTAGATCTGAGGCAGGAGGTGCACATCTGGAGTTAAGACCCAATGCCAGGGGCCAGTACTGACGTGGTGAGCACCGCTGGCACTGATCAGCAGAACGCCTTGTTATTAAGAGGAGTTGGGGTGGGGGTCGGGAGTTATCAGAGGACGCGCTTTCACTAAAGCCCCAACGCTGGGCATTCAGCTGGACCCACCCTCTTCTCTGTCAATAAAAAGACCAAGATCTCGCTTTGAAGATGCATCCTGCATCCTGCTCTGCTCTGTTTCTTTCCATTATCACTGCAGTGTTGCTGACACTACAAGCAAATAACTAAAAGCAGACTTTGCAACGTAACATCAAAGGTAGATAGTTCAAGCTACAAGTGGCAGTTGACACTGAGATACAAAACTGAACCATTTAGAAACGACTTTGCAAAGCATGTGGAAAGATCATCCTACTCAGGGGCAAATTCTGTGCCACAACAGACCTGGGATAATACTAGTGCATGCTTCCAACTTCCACAGGCAACTGTCTAATGTAGCTCTACTGGTCTGTAAGATGCAGCGCTTACTCTCGAGGGCAGCGCTGTCGATCAGGACTCTGCGCAGAGGGAAGTGCAGCTTATCCACGCTGCTCAGCTCCCCAGCACAAGCCACCTGGGATACTGAGCTCTTGAAATGTGGCCAGTGTGACTGAGGAACTAAACTTTTTAAAAATTAGTGTAAATGAGCTAAAATTTCCCCTCTTATTTAATAATCAAAATTAAATAACATGCTTCTATGGTTACCGTATGGGTCAGTGCAGCTAGAGAGAATCCACTCAGGAAAACCCTCGTCTCCACACAAAGCTGGATAAATTCTATGTTCCTATGTCCCTCTTCAACAGCAATTTAAGGACTTTAAAGCTCCTTAACTGAGTGAGGGAAAAATTGTATAGTGAAAACGGGAATCACTTTTTGTTTAGTAGAAGCTTGCCAATACATTTTCAAGGATGCATTAATAAAACAGAGTCAACTTACTACAGTATTAAATCACAGTTATAATTCCAAATCGACAAATACTTACATGTTGTCTTCCAAGCAGATTTTGGGTCCCACCACATTGGCTGCTCCACTTGCCATTTTAAAAGCAAAATGCTTCTCAGGGCAAGCTTTTGAAATTCCACATTTATATCTGGGAGGCTTAGTAGCTTCAGGGGAGAACAAAATATTGTTCAGAAAACGATGTTAATAGACTACCGTTAGTTTGTTTCATGCCTCAAACCACAAAGGCCATTATGTAAAATACCAACATATTCAGCTTCAAATATATGCTACGACTTGTTTTCCCCAAAAGATTTCAAAGAACCTTAAAACCAGCAAAGAAAATCAAAACCCAAAATCGCTTTACAAACAAGCTAGTAACGGACATAAATACATCAAGGAATATGATTTTGATGACAGTAAGCATATCTAATTTTTTAAGTTTGTTTTTAAAATTCAGGATGGAGGTTGTTCTGTATTGTTGTTTTCAATTTCTAGCACTTATCTGCATAGCAGCAGATACCCACAGGGTCACTAAAGTCTAATGCATCCCATTGGAACTGTCTAAGCAGACATGCTCCTCCTTGTACACACTTTTGGCATTTATAATACTGAAGCTAAAGAACACTAGGGAAACAAAACGTCCATTATGAATAAGTAACAAGAACACTGGGCCGTCTAATCAAATTGCATCCTTATAACTTTAAAAAGCAATCTCTCAATCAGTTTTGCTCACTTGGAACTTCCCCCATTGTTTCAGTACACGTTCTCAGAGTCCTAAAATAGAACAAAATAAACCATCTGCAAGATATTGAGATAGAATACTCACGTCGTGCAGCTGTGTCCAATGCTGACCTTGCTGAGGAAAAAAAAAAGTTATCTTTGTTAGAAAGAATAAGGCTATTGGCAAGTATCATTTTTTAACTTACTTGGAGCTATAAAAAGCAGTACGTGATTAACTGCTCAGAATACAGTGAAGTACATGGATAGCGCCTTAGAGCAAAGCGACACAGTATCCATAGGCCACACACTTGACTACAAACAACTGTGCCAAGCACTTACGGAGGGTTACTGACAGAAGACTTTACTTTTACATTTTTAGTTATATAAATTCAAATCCCAGTGAGACAGTTACTCTACAAGCTTTCCTATACTTGGGGCACATCAGGGTATTCCAAGGCTGTCGCTCTGTCCGTGCGGTGTACACAGGTGCAGGCAGCCTGGCGCGTCAGCTATCAAGTTAGTGAGGCTACGGCCCTGGTGGGTGTGGGAGCCCAAGGGAGGTGCTGGGAGCTCTGACTTCTCGAAAACAGAGATGCACTGGGTGGAACAATAAAAAAGTTGAAGTCATCACCTAGAGTTTTACAAGCCCTGAGCTGGAGGGAGCTAGTGTCTGCTGACCAAAGCTTAGCTTGACTGCAGCAGAGCTCAACCTGGCCATCTTACATTCAGAGTTTTTAAAAAGCATTAACATCTGGTCCCAGTTCAGGAGATTACAATTCCAATCACCAATAGCATTGTGAACAACCATTTCCTGATTTGGCTAATAAGCATGCAGTGTCTGCAAATGTTTGCCAGCTGTTTGACTATAAATAGTCACTTACTTTTAGTTCTGTACTATTGTAGATAATTGCAAATTTCCTATAAGTCCAGTACTCAAACTGAAGAACAGAAAGTTAAAGCTGAAAAGGGCCATGGAAATGTTTTAGAGAGAGGAAAGTGGCCAAGTTTGTGAAGGCTCGCTGAAACGACAGAACACACAGGAGATAATGTGCCGTGAACTCACAAAGGCAATGCTGTACCAAGGCACAAGTTACATGCATGGAATGAAGTCAAAAGCTAACTTTACACCACAACTGTATGTATGTACTAAAAATATTCAAGGGTAAGGGCAAAGATTTCATGACCAAAGTGAATTTCTCTAGCCCATGTAAAAATTCTCATTCTCGATTACCTACACTTATTTTCCATTCAATCAGTAGCTACTGTTTACAAGGTCAAGCACAAAGATATTACTATTGTCAAGATTCATTCCCTTGGAAGGGGAATGGATACATGAAAAACAGTAAAAGAAATTCTATTACTATAAAGCAGAACAAAATCAGCACCAAATTAAGATAGAAGTCCTATGCCTTAGAACTAAAAGTCTTCCAACAGGGAGCTTTAATTTCTCTACAGGAGCACTTGACATACTTTTCAAAAATGAGAAGGATTAGCAGATGGCCAGGTGAGAAATGCAGGCTGAGGGGTCAGCAAGCCCAAAGGTTGAATTCAGGACAGGCACGTCACCAGCCACTGGCGGGCACAGTGGCACATGGGTGTGAGACCCACAGGGTGGTGCGGCGAAGGGCGTGGAAAGGCACAATGGAGGCTTTTCCATGCCAGCCCTAGTGAGGAGATTAGCTTTCGCTCTCCTGTAATCCAACGTGCTGATGTTCTTGAGTTTGAAGAGCATCACAGGCAATGGCGAGACTACAGCAAAGATGTGAAACAAGGGCAGCATCCCGGCCACATTTACAGAAACAGTCCAGGCAAGGGGAAGATCAAACTTGGGCGAGCAGAGCGGCCTCAAGTGGCCTCTGTGCTCCTCTCTCAGAAGTGTGCATTTCTCAAAGCAATTTTCTATCTATGCCAAAGATCCTAGTGCCACCCTCCCCTCAAGGAGCCCGTTTTTTTGGTCTTTTCAATCTTTTCCATTTGATTTGTCATTCAATGAATCTCTGCCTAAGGCATACACACAAATGAAGTATCATGACTTAAAAAGGATGGTGCCACTTTGCATATACCACAGCAGAACAGACACTGAGGCCAGGGTAGAAATCCAGCCACGCAGCAGGGTAGAAAGGAAGATTTTGATAAAACAACTCCTGCCCCACCCCCAGCCCCAGGAAACTTAAGTCTTGCTCAACAGAATTTTACATTGCTAGTATTGAGGGACTGATCCATATAGATTTTACTACAAATTAAAGATGATAAACAAAACCAAAGTCACAGCACCCCAACTGAAAAAACAAGTAAGACAACATACAGGAGTCCTGGAACCCAGGTGAAAAAGCTAAAAGAGAAGAATAAAACAAAGAAACACTAAACACTAAAGAAATATCTAAAGAAAATTACTAAAGAAAATTAAGAGGAGTGGGTACCCCAGAAGAGAGAAGGGAGCAAAAGCCCAATTTAAAGAAGTTATAGCTGAAAACCTCCAAAATCCAAGGAAACAGCTGACTACAGGTATCTGAAAGCTGTCAAAAAGAAACCACAGATTCTTAAATCCACACCTCAGATTCTAAAACTAGATCACTACTTTAACTCTAGATTAAAAAAAAAATTTGAATTGTTTAAAAACTTTGAAAAAAACCCAGCTCCTTGCTCTGGACTCTACTGTAAACCAAGTCTTTCCTAACTGGTTTGATGGAGGGCTCCTTACTCAGGAGATGGTCACTGGGGTCTGCTTACATTTTTTGATCTTTGACCCCACATTAAAATTTCCAAACAACTGCAATTCAAAGGTATAAACGACTGGGAAGATAACTCAGTGATATCACCTCTCAAGTTAGCTAGGGAAAGATGCCTCCTCTCCATGGATCCCCCCAAACCTCCAACAGTGCTCGGCAGGTAGGAGTGAGTTCCCAAAGACCTCCACTCGCTGGGCTGCAGGTGACAGAGGAGGGAACTGCAAAGTTCCTTCTCCTTGTCCTTTGTCCTTGCTCTGCTCCTATTTATCTTCTTATAGACACAACCAGAAAACCAGGCAAACCAGATGAAGGCAGAGGTAGAAGACACTGATTAAGCCAAAGCCTCATTACTAAAGTAAATAAAATGCATGCCTGCTTCTCTAAACTCCTGCAGAGATCCCTGTCTCTCCTCTTTTCTACCTTAGTCTGCACCCCCACCCTCACCCTCACCCCCCCACCCCTGCTGTTTTGGGGAGATGACCTTTGTTGACCGCAGTCCATCCTGTCATCAGGTGTGTTGGCACCAGAATAAACCTGATTTCCTTCCAAGTCTTGTCACTGGAGTTTTGACTTAAGAGTAATAAGTAGCCAGACCCCACAAAACCCGTAACAGTTTCACAGTGTCAGTTTTAGGAGTCCTTTTTCAATATGTTATAAAAATGCTTTGTAGTTTATTAAAGCTCTTCAAATGTTAACTTATTTTATTAACTCACAGATTTTGTAAAAAGCTAACTTTAGGTAGTTTACAATATGTGTTCATATTTTGGCAACAATAAATGGATAAAAATAAAATATTGTAGGGTCCTCCCTAGGGGCGTAAAGAGTTAAATCTCAGTGCTCCCAAGCTATCACCAGCCACTGCAGCAGGAGTTGGATCCCCCACCAGGGAGCTGACCCACATGGCACAGCAGACCTCCCCTGACCTGCCAGCTGCTTCCCCTCAGCAGTGTATTTCAATAGATCTGCCTGTTCTGCTCCCCACTCTGTCTCTGGTGAATTTTCTCACCTCCCAGCACATCTTACCTACACCCCAGCTCTTGTATACATAAATAAATCAATCTGTATTTAAAAAAAAAAGAAAAAATATTGCAGAGGAAAACAAGGGCAGGAAAGCAAGAGACTTTGCGGGGCTGGGATCTAACATCATCACATGACTCCTACCCACTTGCTGAGAGCTAGATTTGGCTCCAAGTTTTCCAGCAGGCAACTCAAATAGAGAAACAAGTTAAACTTAGGTATGATATCTCTTAGAATGTGCATTCAGAACACATGATTAATGTTCCTAAGAGTGCATAAAATAGATCTCATTAAATATGTTCAAATTTTGAAGAGAAGATGCATGCATTAGACTGAATTCTAAGACCTTCTATTATGTACTGTAGAATAATCTAGTGAATCACTCTCACCAGTATAATTACATTTTCTTTCCTAGACAGACTAACAGCAGAGTGATTCAATGTTGATAACCAGTAAAAATTTAAAGACAACCACTTAAAATAAGATTTAAGAAAGGAACAAAGTTAAAACTTACCAAATAGATTTCCTAAACTTGCATCCATTTTTATTTCAAATACTTGAGATATAACATAAAATGTCAGTAAAAATACTGCCACAGCTACCACCAACTTTGCAGCTCCTGAAGAACAGAAGTAATTCAGCATGATCTGATGAACTCAACAGAATCAATTATTATGCATTTCTAGATAAAATGTATGTTTACATTCTTCATCCCAATAAATTTGTTTTATTAGGATGTTAAGTTTACTTGAACTATAACAAAAACTATGTCACAGTCCATCAAGATAAGGGATTTCCATGATAAAGAACTATCATACTGGCTAACAGTCTAGACATAGGACAGCTTCTACATGCAAAAAAAAAAAAAATAATAAGCCCTGCTCTCAACTGCTGACTGACTCCACAAAAGTACAGTGGCTGGTACCGCACCACACCAAGTATGCTGCTGTCTAGGCATCCTCCTTTTCAAACAAAGGGTAATACTGTGCCGGGATAATACAAAAACACAGGCCGATGTGGAGACACAAGGCAGCAGACAGGAAGTGCACTAAGCAAGGCATTCCCAAGCTCAATGTGACAGGTTTGCTGTCCTATTATGAACCAACAGCACTCTGGAGTGACATAAGTCCCTCTATCACGGTGATCACTTCAGTATTTCTACTTGTACTGTAGACCCAGTTTACCAGGCCTCCTGAGCCTTGTTTGGTGCCTCCCAGATAGCTTCATCATACGGTCACATGTCCACCCAGTGAAGACAAATTCTTAAGCCTGTCTTCATTTCTGAGTTCCACACAAATTCTCATTATGAATAAATTGTTTAGTATGAATCATCATTAGCCCTTTTTCTCCAAAGCTAAGAAAGTCTAGAGAAGAAACAGTGCAAAAATGGAAACTGACAGGAAAGGAACATCACTTTCTTCTTACAATTTCAGTGACCTAAGGAATCTTGGGTTATTCAGGAACAACACTACTGTCCCTACAACCTCTTCCCTCCTCTTAACACAAGTTTAATTTGCTGATGTAAAAGCAGCGGATGGCATCAGCAGTTATCTCAATGTCCTTAAGATCTCTGTCCAAGATCACAGATGAGTCAACAGCAGCACAAGGACAGAATCCAGGGATCTTGATGCAGCCCAGGGCTTGGCGAGGACAGCACGGTAACACCAAGCCACACAGTCCCTGGAAAACTACTACCCACAACCAACTACTGGCTAACAGTAAAAAAAAAAAAAAAACACTATATTCATTCTATTTCATCAGCTCACAGAAACTGGGTCCTCATACTGGGGGGTGATGAGAGTGGGGAGGAGGGAAAGGACAAATGATTAGCAATTGTTTCCCAGAGCTTCTTGTTTCTATTTAGAAACACATTAAATGTAGAAATGAAGTGGCAATGAGGAAGTATTATCATTAATCAATCCCAATCCTCCCACCTGCTCTTCACTTTAAAGACTGCATTTCCTGTTTTCAAGAGCAACTACAAGTTGTCTACATTTTCAGTGCACAAGAGAGCAAACTTCCATTAGGCTCCGAGCTCTTCCCCCCAGAGCAGAGCGCCTCTCATGTATAGCAATGCTCTCAACAAGTGACTGTTACATGGATGAATGGCCACAGTTGGCATATTCCTTCTTGCTCACTAAGACCAAGATTATGGACCACTAAAATCTGTACGTCCCATTTTCTAGCAATGATGACATGTGCCAATAGTGAGAATGTTTCCCTGTCTCTTAAAGCAGAATATGAAACTTTCATTGTTCAAGAATAAAATCTTATCCCACTCCTAGAAATCAGCCCAAAGGACACCAAAACATTAATTCAAAAGTAAACCTACACACCCATGTTTACTGCAGCACAATTTACAATGGCTAAGCTACGGAAGCAACCTAAATGTCCAAAAACAGACGACTGGATCAAGATGTGGTATATACACATGATGGAATACTACTCAGTGATCAAAATGATAAACTCAGCCCATCTGCAGCAATATGAATGGGGCTGGGAATACGTCACTGCAAGAATAAGGGTTTTTCAAAGCTATCAGTGTACACATACAAAGACAAAACACATATTTTAATTAGAAGCAATTAGTTAAAAAGCAGTAAAATAACAGTTTTCTTTTTTTCATTCATTAAAGGTAGTTCCCTCAAGACCTATAGTAGGAATACTGCCAAAGATAAAATAAGCCCTGAATGAACAACTACCTATCAATAAACCTTAGAATTAATTGGCAGAATCAGAGAAATGGATTAAGATGACAAGGATAATTTCAATAGGATGAATGTTGAATTATGTGAGAAAGGAAAAATTTTGCTTTGATTATTTCATATCACAAAAACAATATACTTTTACACCATCTAGAAACATGTGATCATATTCAATTCTGTTATCTTCGGAGATGATTAAAAAATAAAGGACATTATAACATTCTTTTAAGCCAGAAATAAGTTCTTATCTTTGGGGAATATTTTCCTTGAATACTTGTACAGCTACTGAAAAAAGGGAAGCTTTATAATTTCATGACCAAAGGATCTAGATTTTCAAATACTGATGAAACATTGTAAATAACCCTTAGTAAAATCTGTGTTTTATAATCAAGTTTAGTCACCTGCATCTGATTCTATGTAATTATGACTGAAGCATGAAGATGTTTCTTCACCCACCTTGACTCCAGGTACTCCTTCAGGTAAGAAAAGATTTTGTGTGTAGGTGAGAACATATAGTGAATAGGATAATTGCCTGATTTTCGAGAAATACAAGCTTTCCCCTGTCTTGGGCACACTTAGTAGAAATTTCTATGTAATTCTGTGCTTGAGGAGGCTGGGGGTAGAAGGTACACTTAGATTTGAAGGACTCATCAGCACCTCCAGTGAGTTATGGATCTGCCTTTTCAAGACTTGGAGACAACTACCCTAATACTATGAATATTCAATTCCTTCAAATTGCTGCCTCAGGAAATGTTCTTGCATGTAACCTCACTGATGAAGACTGAACTTACACTAGCAAGTACAGTCACTTAAGCAAAAACCAAATTCTACTGAATCCTTCACACACATTAGTTTCAATTTAAATACACAGAAAGACTTAAGCTTTTAAACTTTGCAACTCACTGTTCAAACTAGAACTTTAGCAAAAATAAAAATCAGCCTCCCTAGTTTGTCAAAATCACTCTTTATGATAATATTTTCTATATGTAATACATATACATATAATCAGGCAATCAAGTTTAATGTATAAGAACATAAACCTGAAAACCATAACAACTTATCTGGCATAATTTCAACAAAAGTGTATCCAAACAAATGTGTTTAATGTTTAATTCGTTTTCAAACTGTGACCTGCCAATTACATGAAAGAGTAAAATGACTACAGATAAGATTAACTCTGTTCTACTTTAGCTTTGTAGTCAATACTGAAAAAGATGATTTTTTTCTTTCCTTTAGTCATTTCTCAGCAAACAGGTTCCACATAAAGAAAACCGTTAGCTGAATTAAGGCTCTTACCTGCTACTCTCATGTTTGATTTTTCCGACTATGGCACTTTTCATGAAGTAAGTTCCTAAAATCAAAAGAAAAAAACAATCTTAGGTCCAGAACAAGCAGTTGTCCCTAGGCTGAGTTTGATTTGGGATGTATATTTTAAAGTAATTAATGTCATGACATTTCAAAGTTGCCTACCAGAATTAATGAAAAAAGTGCTTATCACTGGGTCTCCCTCCTTTCACTCCCCAGAAAGCTCCAGAGAAAGGTCTGTGTTTTGTACCACGGTGCCCCCACTACTGAACTATAGGGAAATGTGACAGAAGACAAATGCCTTGTTAAAATGCCTTGTTAACCTCAGTGATTATGCAAATCGGTAAGGAACTCTAGATACTTAGCACCCAAACTTCGGTTTACTAAGGTGCAAAGAGGGTTAGCTGCTTAACCAGATGGAACAAATGATGTGTGGAAAGGAGCAAGGGCCATGAGTGGAACCTGCTCCAAAGTTCCCAACAGTGCACGATGCCACTGCATCTCAGGACCTTGAAATTCAGGTGGTGCGACATAAGCACTTATAGCAAAAGCTTATTTTACTATCAGGGTCCTCTTCAAGTTTGAGATTTAAGCTTGAAACAGAAAATATGCAGCAATTATCATTATTGCCAGTGATTAATACATCAAATTAGTTATTCTGTTCTATGTCAAAGAAATTATCCTCTGATACTATTCTAATTACCAAAAAAAAAAAAATGATGCTGGGGAAAAAATCGGTTTGTATGTATGTTTCACTCCTAAGAAATAACTCAAGATAAGTAAAATTTTAAAAAGAAAGTAAAATGAGTGAGTCTGATAGGAACATGGCATCCAGGCTCAGCTGGAAGCCTCCACTCTACACAAGTATATACAGGAGTGGAGCTCAGGCGATAACTGTAATTAATGACTACATTAAGTAAAAAGTTATGTGCCTTCATTATACGCTGTATTTTGATGACATCTCAATGATCATGGCAAGTCTAATAATTTATAGACTATTTAAAATAAAAATACTGGACACTCCACAGCCCATTGGAGAAAGTGAAAAATCTGGTTTCCTTATTCTCCAGTAAAGAATAAAGGGGGCGGGGGGGCCCTCCCTGGTGGCACAGCGGGTTAAAGCACAGCACTGAGAATCTAAAGCCGCTTCCGCATGAGTTCGATTCCCGCCTGCCCCGGAGGTGACCACATGGCGCAGCAGACCTCTCCTGACCCACCCGCTGCTCCCCTCCTGGCGCAGCAGACCTCCCCTGACCCGCCCGCTGCTCCCCTCAGCAGTGTACTTCGTCCATCTGCCTGCTCTGCTCCCCACTCTGTCTCTGGTGAAGCCTCTCGCCACCCCTCAGCTTCTGGCCTGTACCCCAGTTCTGTATGCACAAATAAACCTTTAAAAACAAGAATAAAGGGGGCGGGTGTCGTTTTAAGGTCACACTAACCCCCTTCCCTCTGCCCAATCTACCATGAAGAAAATAACTAACCTTTAAAAGAGTATGACCTGAGCATTATTGATTTCTTCTCCTTTGTTAATTACCTGAACACTTTCCAGATAACAGGAAAAGTCAATCTGCCTCTTACAAGGCTAGGAAAGGAAATAGAGCTCCTCAAGGATCATACACTTTAGCCCAGAAAAGCAGGGAAAAAACTCCTTTGCTTTTCAAGTGAAAACATCCAACTGGTTGTAAATCCTCTTTTGACTTCCAGCAAAATCGAACACTACATTCACTACATACCCATATCTTTTCTTCCTCCCTCCCTCTTATCTTACCATGGCCCAGGCAAGTATTTTTGCAACTGGGATAAGCCATAGGCAGATCACATTACCTGAGAGGCAGAAACACCTATCCAATCGAAGTTCCTGCTTCCTAGACCTGCCACCTGTTCATACCTCCCACCAAGTATGCTTCCAGGCTTATTACGAGGAAGACCACAATACAGCAATGACGTTGCATAGGGAAATACAAATATTTCCCATTAAAATTTCTCCAGACAGAAACATTTAGTAGAAATGTCTAAACTAAAATTGTATCAAATCTGAGTCATAACATTTTTAACTAATTTGCTTAAGAAGCAAAGTAACAAGGCACAAGTGTAAATCAGCATAAGGAAAGAGTACTGAGCACATGACAGCAAATTCTGGAGCATCTGTCTACAATGTGTTGATTCCAAGTTAGTCCTGCGCATCCTCTCAGGAAGGAAGTTAAAAGGAAAGACAGACATTACATGTAACAATTCGGGGATGAAAGTAAAAATGTAAAGGCATCTGGTATAAGCTTCAGGCCCAGCCTCCAAGAATCAAGCAGGAACAGGAACAAATCCAGTGCAAGAGAACACAGGGGGATATCCAGAGTCAAGAAGTGAAGAAAACTGTAATTTTTCTGGCACATTCATTAAGAGATAGTTCTACAGAAATTAGTCACCCACCAAAACTAGAATATTGGTGGTACAGGGAAAGTTTTTTTGTTTTTTTTTTTAATAAAGACATTTATGCATACAGAACTGGGATAGAGGCCAGAGGTGTGGGAGATGGGGGGTGCTGAGAGGATTCACCAGAGACAGAGTGGGGAGCAGAACAGGCAGATGTCAAAGTACATTGCTTTGACAGCAGGTGGGTCAGGAGAGGTCTGCTGTGCCATGTGGTCACCTCCCCCACCAGGGATCGAAATCATGCTGAAGTGGCTTTAGCTTCTTAGTGCTGTGCTTTAACCCACTGTGCCACCAGGGAGGGCCCAGGGAAAGTATTTTTAAGTTAGAGGAAAACAAAACTCTGACACCTGTGAATTTACATTTCCAGAACAGTGCACCTTAGGCCCAAGCCTCAAGTTTCAGTGTTTCTGAAGAGCACTCCCATCTGGCAGCCAGGTCCTCGAGGGCAGCTGAGCTCTCCACCGAGTGAGCACTGAGCAAGGATGTGATCCAGGCAGGAGAGTAAGCCTAAATCAGGATATCAGGCTGACATACTAGATTTCTTTGAATGTCTTGTAATTTAAACATTTTCCGTAACCCAACTACTATGGGTAATTTTACATAGTTTGAAATTTTTTTTAAAAGGAATCAGGCCTGACTAGGTAGACATTCATAAATAGACATCATCCTAAAATCAACCAACTTCAGAAGCATCACACAAAAAACTAGTGATACTTTTGTTATTTCCTGGAGAAAAGGACAGGAGTAACATCCGGTAAATTACAAGAACACTATTCTATGTCAACACAAAAAGACACAAAAACAATTATTTAACAGGCAGGTAAAGCCATGCCAGTCAACATAAACTAAGTAACAATTATACAGCAGCTCAACCTGTATTCTGGTTTTCTGTCATTTTCCCAGCAACCCTCTGGCGGTGATGGGTATTACTACGGCATTAGAGATGAGGTCAAGGGATTAATTTCCCTAAATTATATGAAGAAAAAGAAAGAAGCTGATACTACAAGCAAGTCCACTTCTTTTTCACCCCAGCAACTCACTGACACACTCTAATATTAGAGGCTGTTGACAAAACTCTATGTCATTCAATCTGGCTTTTGCAAATTGCTGTGGGAATTGCCAATCTCTGTTGCCAACTAGCCACTCCAAGATTTGACAGTCTGTCAAATGACTAAGCGTGTGTATTAGAACCCCCTCCAAGACAGGAAGGAAATAAGAAAATGAAGTGTGCAAACACACCCACTGATGTTTTTAATAGGAACAAATACCAATCATTTAATTAAATCAGAAAAAAATACTACAAATTATGCTCCACTAATATAGAGAAATTATTACTCAATCCAATCCACCTTGAGCTCTGCAGTGAAAGCTGGAAAGCAGCCATGAGCATAAGACAAACAAGCCCACTTGTGCTATAATAAAACTTTATGGACATTGAAGTTTGAATTTCATAAAATTTTCATGTTATAAAATACTGATCTTTTGAGTTTTTTTTTTTCCAACCACTTAAAAATGTAAAAACTAATCTTTGCCTAGGTTGTAATTTGCCAACCTAAAATAGAGGAATAAAAAAATTTTTTTTCCAATAAAATTAAATCTTAAAATATGTAAAAATAAAAACTCTCCTGCCCTAACATTCTAACAATTTTCTGGGCTGTCTGCCATAGGCATCTAGTGGTCCTCTTAGAAGTATTACTACAGAAGGGTCAAGTCACCCTGAATTCTGTGTTCCTGCCACCAAGTGTTCATATGTTTCATAATCCACAGCTCTCCAAGGAATAATCATCTTCTCCATGAGAAACAATGTGATGAAACCCCCTTCAAGAAGATTATCCTTTCCTTCCTGTAGATGAAACTGTCCCACACACAAAAAGAAGGGAATACATCAAGGCTCTGGGAGGTTTTCCCAAGCAATCCCAGTAAATAAAAAGAAATGGATAAAGTAATTTTACTACATCCTATTTCAGTTAACTGTAAAATGATACTGGTACGGGAATGATGCCACGGTTTAGATAGGTATTTAAAAGACATTATTTTTCTGATGATTAAAAAGGATGAGGGGAGTAACAATATATCAGATGTCTGATGAGCACTATAAGTCAAATAGACTGACTTATAAAACCTTTAAAAAGCAAGTTATAGGCCCTCCCTGTTGGTGCAGTGGGTTAAAGCACAGCACTGAGAATCTAAAGCCACTACTGCATGAGTTTGATTCCAGCCTGCCCTGGAGGTGACCACATGGTGTGGCACACCTCTCCTGACCCACCCACTACTCCCCTCAGCAGTGTACTTCCTCTATCTGCCTGTTCTGTTCCCCACTCTGTCTCAGTGAAGCCTCTCACCACCCCTGAGCCTCTGGCCTGTACCCTAGTTCTGTATGCACAAATAAATAAATCTTTAAAAAAAAAAAAAAAAAAGCAAGCTATCACCACAATAGACATGCAAAGTGCCGTCAAGTGCCTGGTCTCCAAACACCATCCAACAAGCACAGGAGCCTGGCCAGGGGGCTACTGAAACAGCAAGCTGCAGCCCTGCAAAGACACTAGCTTGGGAGAATCTGAACATTGCAAAGTCAGTATGATGGTGGTGAAGAGCTACCATGATGCACCTTCGGGGAGAGCT